ACACAGATCCGTATCCCTGGGTCTGCGTGCGTGTCTGTAGCAACCCAGCATGTCCTGTTTCAGTCCAGCACCCGGGGTTCCGTCCAGCCTTCCCCGTTTATATGGAAGTACAGCCCTTTCAGGCACGAAGAACCTTGGCCTCCAGGAGTCCGTTTACTTATTCCCTCCATTAACTTACTTGCTCTGTGTAATGAACATCCTGACCTCGCCAGCTCCCTGTCACCTTTGCCACCCCCTCGCCTTCCACGAGCCTTCCCCCCACCCCCGCACCCTGCTTTCCCAACCCGAGGGGGGCCTCCCCCACACCTCCAGGCCTCCATCCAGAGTGCTACCCAGAGAGCCTGCCCTGCAGTCCCTCCCGCCGGCTCCCCTGCCCCTGGACTCTTCCCAGAGGCGGCCCGGGTGACGGTTCCTGGAAGCGTGAGGTGACTTCCCCAGAGCCTCTGAACTCCCCGCCACCTTTGACTTCTTCAGATTTGTAAGAGTGCATCTCATTTCCGGTGTCACAGCCTGCTCTTCGTCTCATTCTGATTCCTGGTGTTCTTCAAACACCAAGTAGCCTGTATTCGTTTCCTATTGCTGCTATTTAAAAAAAGAAAAAAAAATTACCCCAGACTCTGGCTTAAAACAACACAGAGTTATTCTCCTACCGTTCTGGGGGTCGGAAGTCTGAAATGAGTCTCAGGGAGCTAAAACTGAGGCCCCTCCCAAAGGCTCCGGGGGAACCCCTTCCCTCGCCTTCCCTCGCTGACTAACACTCCTGTGCTCGGCCTCTGGCCTGTGCCTCCGTCTTCACAGCCACAGTGAAGCGTCTCTCTCCAGCCTGTGTCCGTCCTCACAGCGCCACCCCCCACCCCCTCCTGTGCCCCTCTGCCAAACAAAGGTGTTTGTGATTGCACCAGCCCCAGGTGGGTGAGCCAGGACAATTCAGGGCCATCTCGCCTAGAGACCCAGCCGCTGGCCACTCTGCGAAGTCCTTTTTGCTTTGTGAAGCGACAGGCTCTGCCCAGGACCGGGGGTTCACGGAGTCTGGGAATGAGCATCCAGACATCAAGGGGGGTGGGAACGAATCGGCCCCTCCACAGAGCCAAACGCAAGTCTTAAATCTTCTCCTGTTTTTAAGTTTTATTTTTCTGTTACAGTTGACTTTCACTATTTTGTATTGCTTTGGGGTATACAGCGTAGTGGTTAGACGATCGTATAAAGTGATCACCCCGGTATTTCCAGTACCTGTCTGGCACCACCCGTAGTTATTACAATTGTATTGACTGTACACGCATCCCCTGTGCTGTGCTTTACATCCCCGTGACCATTTTGTAACTACCAGTTTGTGCTTCCCGATCCCCTCGCCTGCTTCACCCACTTTCCCAAACCCTCTGGCAGCCCTCAGTCTGTTCTCCGCATCTCCGAGTCTGTGTCTGTTTGGTTTGTTCACTTCTGTTATTCTTTTGATTCTGCCTATAGATGTAGTCACACGGTATTGGTCTTTCTCTGTCCGTCTTATTTCACTTCGCGTAACACCCTCTAGGTCCATCCACGCTGCCGCAAACGGTAAGATTTCGTTTTTTTTAGGGCCGAGCAAGTCTCAGCTGTTAAAAAATGAGATGTTAACGCCTTTGACTCGGGCAGATGCTGAGCTGCACAGAGACATCGCTCAGAAAATGAGCGTGTCTCGGAGATGTTGACATGGCCACACCCACGGAGATACACTTCGCTCTCTGAGTTTTTGTACAGCTGGGCGGGGTCAGCACTGCTGTCGATCAGAGTTACGATGACCACGTTCCCCCCACTTCTTTAGTCTTCGCCATTCTGGTGGATGAAACTGGACTCCATCTTAATGTCCGTGTAATCAATGCGGAGCAAGTTCGAGCGTCTTACACGTTCCCGGCTGTCTGTGTTCCGGGACGTGCCCGTCCTGTGGCACGTCCGTGCCCTCTTTGCCCGCTACAGCTCCTTCCGTCCCCGCTGGAAATGGTTCGCCCGGGCGCTGGCGTGCCTTGTTACTCGATGGTGTTCATCACACAAAAACGTTCAGTCTCTACGCAGCTGTTTCCACTAACTGGGCTCTCTTCCTTACCACACTCTGCGTTTTCTTTTCAGGCTTGTTCTTAACACTTGCGTTTTTATTTCTCTTATATTTATTTTGCTGTTGGAATGAAGTAAGGATTCACTTCTGTTCTGAGCCCCAGACAGATGTCCAGCCCGTTGCTCCTCCTCTTTATTAAATGCCCACTTTTCTTCCCCTGTATCTTCCTCCAGGCTTCCACGATTATTTGTGAGGTCTTAACACTTTCTTTCTATGATATCCTTCTAGGTTTTTTTGCAATATATTCTTTGCTTAAACAGAGACCAAAGCATGTCAAAAAGTACTACCCTGGAAACCTCATAAATGCTGCGTTGTGAAGAGCCCTCCGTCCAGAACACACGGCCGGTCTTCCCGCACCTGTGGAAAGGTTGCTAGAGAACGACAGGTACGCCGTCATTCGTTCTGAACATTTTAGCAGGTGTTCATTCCTCGTCCACCGTGTTGCAAAAGCAGAACTGAGTGGTCCAGGAACGTGTCTCGATCTTGGACGTTCTCATTTCTAATTCTACAATTCAGTGAACATGATGCACAAGTCTATCATCGTCACAGGAAGTTGTCGCCTCGCCGTGGTGTGCGCCAGAAAAAAGACATTGTTAGCTGGACCACATTTCTCCATTTAGAACAATGGTTTTCATGGTGGGTGGTTTCTGAGCCGTAACAGTGCAGGAACTACCATAAACCCAGCAGCGATAGCAACGTGCTGAAATGATGCTCCAAGCGCAGTAAGAACAGGCAGCGTTACACTGTAAACCCTGACGGTTCGAAATGCAAGCGCTGCCCGATCTGACCCGTGCACCACCGTAAATCTCATGGATCAAAAAGCGGCGTGCTAACCATGGGCATCAATTACGTGATTGCCAGCTTTGCTTATTTTCGAATCCCTGAAGGCGGAAAGACGTTGGCCTTCTTCATAACCTCAGTGCCCGGCAGACACTAAGTAAACATTCTCTGCCTAAGATTTTAATCAATCAGTTAATTAAGAACAAGGCAGCTGGTCTAAGACCTGCATTTTTCAATGATGCGCCGGATAATCGGAAAGCCGCGTGTTTTTACTGATGACAACAGGGAGGCATGGCTGATTGGTGTTAACACGAAGACACTCTAGAACAATGCGATCAACTGACAAGTGTAGTTCCAGGCCTGGGACTCATCATCAGTCAGTTTGTGTCAGGTCGAGGAGAAAACCGGTATTTTCGCGTGTTACATCAATGTTTGTTTCGCTGGAGACCAGGGTGGCATCCTGCACCGTGTGACACGGGACAGCCAGGGCAGCCCCAGCCCTCGGTGCACCTGAGACTCAGAGGGAACCTCTAGGGACATAGGTACGGTACAGCCAGGCCCAGGCCTCAGCATTCCAGTGGGAGTGGAAGTGGGCATCCCACCCTCCCCCTAACCCGACGGTGTCCACCTACTCACTGTCCCTGTCACGTCAGATTTGGAGTGAGTTACGCTGATTAATCTCAAATGTTAAGGAGCATGTGGTTATGTTCCGTGTGGTCTAAGATTTTGAACTCTAGAACAGAGGTAAAATCATGCAGGCCGAGTAGCACGCACCCTTCCAGTGCCCGACTCCCTGTTCCCTCTAAGACATTCCTGACCCGTACATGACGAACTACCGTGTTCAGATTGCTTTAACTTGAACTTGGTTTGAATGAACCCCCCCTGCACAAAAGAAGTGTGACTCTGTGAGGGTCTTCGATTAGTTTCCAGTCGTGGCCTTTGGTTACCGGGACTTTTGACCGTGCGGCACCGTATGCCCCTGACTGCCTATTAGGATCACACCATCAAGTTTCATTCCTGTTTTCATCTTTTAAATGTATTCCTTTGAAGTCCACTGTACTGTTGTTTAGTCCCCAAATAATATTTTTACTTTTCACATTGAAGAGTTAAACATACAGGGTTTGGCACAAATAACACTCCCTTTTTATTACAGAATTATAAGCATGTGATTCTGTAATATAACAGCATCACACTCAAGCACAGCATATGACATTTTAGGTGAAATGTTCAAATTAAAACTATAAATTATCACACCCATATTATTACCCTACCAACCACACTCAAGCAGGCCTTGCTTCTGCCAGACCTTGTACAATAACAAGACAAACTCAGGTTGATTTTTCCAAATCCATTATTTATAAAAGTTTGTTCTTTATGTCATTGAAAAGATGATTCGTTATTTGCTAAACACATGGAAATTTTTCACTCGGTACATTTTCTTCAAAAGAGTTCCCACCCCTGGATGATTTTCTCATGCAAATTAGCATGTTTTTCTGAATTGCTGCTTCTGTCATCATGCTGAATACAATCAGGGAAATTATATTCATGTTATAGGAGTCTAAGTAAAACATGAAAAGGAATGCAAATTTCCTGAACTAAAACATACAAATCCTTTTAATCATGGGTCAAGTAGATTAACGCTAATCTCCAGACATGTTTAAGCTCAAAGGTGCACGACCTCACCCTCAGTAAGTGCACACACGTGCACCTGGACAAACACGTCTAGGGGGTCGCACACGTCGAGTTCCACCCCGGCCACCCAGACTCAGCGAGTGCTGTCACTTTCTTCAGCTCTGACCAAGGCAAAAAAAAAAGCCAACAAACAGGCAGGCTGAGAGAATGAGAGTATAATTCACTAATTCATACATTGTTGTCAGTGTCTTTACCCAACATGAACTTTATCTTATATCACCTGTGCATATAATTTCACCAAAGTCTGGGCTTAGGCATCTTAATATTTTATGTAGAAAAATATGAAATGTAACAGCCAAACTGGAACGTTTCCAGAAAGCACTTCAATAGAAGGTGTTTCACGTCCTTAATGATTCATTATAGTCACACGCCATAAAGCCTAGGTTAGTTTCAGCATGAACAGCTGTACATCTGCCCACACTTTCCTTCCTCTAGGTTTGCCATGCCTTTGGCCGCTACCGCAGAAAGCCACGCGGACGAGCACTGCCCCAGCGTGGCCTCCGAGAACAGCCGGCGGTCGGCAGAGCCCGCGGGCAGCCCCGGCACGGCCGCCAGCCCAGGGCCCCGCAACGCTTCCTCGGGGAGCGCGGCGGGCAGCCGGTCCCCCTGCTCCTTCCGGAGCTTGAGTTCTTACGACGACTATTCGGAAGACTTTCTGTCGGAGTGTTCGGAAACCGCCGTCCACAGCAACTACTCAGAGAAGCCTGCGGTCAAGGGGCAAAAGGAGGAGAAGAAAAACTGCGTTTCTCAAGTCTCCCAACCTAAAGGTAAGAAGCTCCGAGTCCCAACCGAGACCAAAGGTGAGGTTACGGTGACATTATTTTTAATGCACTAATATTTGACAGCGGCCCATACCGTTTTGTCATTTCTCCACATTGTAAACTCGCGTTTCTAAGTGAAGTGTAATAGGAGGAGTTAGGAAGCAGAGGGACTAAGAATAATTACGAAATAGCAGAGAGCTAAGTGTCAGGTGTAACGCCGTCTCGCACAGCTTGCTGCTGGCGCCCGCGAGTGAGGCTGGCTCCGTTTTTAGTTAACAGGTGGCCCTGTCACAGAGCACCACTGTACCTGGATTTCACCGGCTTCTTGCCTCTCTTCCCAGCTGAAGAATCCCAGTTCGGATCCCCAGCGAACCACACACTCCTGCCTCGGCAGCCCAAGAAGACGGTCTCCAAGTCCGGTGAGGCATGCTGGCCCCAGAGGTCACTGACAATGTCATTTCCTGGTGGACTGTAGAAGTGCCGTCACCGTCAGCTCCTAAGGGTCCAAATTAGAGCCGGCCCTGTGACAGCCCCGGGCTCCTCACTCCCTCCGGCCTCCCGGCCCCGATGGGGTGACTCCCCGCAGGTTAGGCGGTCCTGGGCTCACGCCTCTTCCTTGTGCCAGAAACAGCCCGACTCTTCCCCACTGTGACCTCGAGAACGGCCATCAGTCAACAGCTGGAAAATAGAGCCTGGGGAGTGGGGTGGGGCGGGCACATCCAACTGCCACCCCCAGCCTGACCAGGAAGGACCTTCTGTGCCACCTCTGGGTCATCTAGCATATTCGGTTCCCCCTCTTCCCAGCCAAAGAGCAGGGGTTCTGAACCTCAGACCCGCGCCTGCGAACCACAGGAAATGCCGGCCTCGTCTCTGTCTGTCTGCCTTTGTGGACTCTTCTAGGGAGAAGGGCCCACAGCTTCCAGCAGGTTCTTAAGAGGTCAGAAGCCCCTTCTCTGGCAGGCGGGGCCGAGGGCAGGAGACGCGAAGCGTGGCGCCCGTTGTCACAGTGGGCTCCGGCGTCTGGGAGAGGCCAGCGGCCTCAGCAGGACACACGGGGCAGTCCGCTCCCGCAGCTGCCCGGGCCTCGGCTGCCGTTGAAACACACGAAGCCCCGAACGCCAAACGTGTCTCCAATCTCTGGCACCACAGCTGATCTGGCAACAGAAACCTGGTGTAAATGGACGTGAGACTGGTCTTGATCTATTTCACTTAGTGTGAAGAGTCACATTTATTTCAAAAACTACGCTTTGATTCAGGTCTGCTGTCCCTGACCATGGTGGGAAGGAAGCGCCATGGAAAATACCATACACGCACCTTAAAAGATAAAACCCCCAAATCCAGGAAGGTGTGGCCCCTCCCCAGGTTTACGGCCAGGGATCATGGATCCGCACTCACTGCATGTTCCACTGAGTCTGTGCTTTGTGGGCCAGAGAGAGGGCAGTTAGCATTTGTGAAACTTTCCATGACACGTGAACTGCATTTTGAGTTCTAAGCACCTTAAACTTTAACTTTTAAAAATCGACTTCTCAATTATTTGTTCCACAGATGTTTACTGTGTGTTATGTGTTTTATACAAGATACCTGTTCATAGATCAGGAGCAAGCTAAGTTAATTCAGCCACCTGAATTATCAGAATTCTGAAGGGGGCTCTTTTGTATATGAATACTCTGAAATTATGTTAAATACTGGATGCATTTTTTTAAAGATTTTATTTATTTAAATAGAGGAGAAGGGAAGGAGAAAGAGAGGGAGAGAAACATCAATGTGTGGTTGCCCCTCACGTGCCCCTCACTGGGAACCTGGCCCACAACCCAGGCATGTGCCCTGAGTGGGAATCGAACCGGTGACCCTTTTGTTTGCAGGCCTGCACTCAGTCCACTGAGCTACACCAGCCAGGGCTAGGTGCATCTTTAACTCAAATTATATGCTCCCAAGGGTACATTATGAACTTAAAACTTTGTTGTAACATTAAGCTTTGTCACAGAATGATAAATTTTTGCCTTCGTTTATCCTTTCATTCTTTTGTTCTCTGACCGCTCGTGTTCTGCATGTGTTAGTCAAAGAAATTTAAGCAGCAAGTAATGAATATAATTGTAACCCAAAGCAAAGAAGCTGAATCTTTCAGCCAGTGCAGCCCCTTCTCAACTGGGCGTTCAGTGTCTGTTCATCTTTCTCCTGTGCTGGAAGTAGGTGTCTGACCCTTGGGGGCTGGGAACACTGGATTAGGAGCCACCAGTGGAGACCTGGAATTCACTAAGGAACAGTAACATCAGCCCTGGCTGGTGTGGTTCAGTGGGTTGAGCACCGGCCCACGAATGGAAAGGTCACAGGTTCGATTCCTAGTCTGTCAGAGTACATGCCTGGGCTATGGGCCAGGTCCCTGGTTGGGGGCGTGTGAGAGGGAACACATAGGTTTTTCCCTCCATCTCCTTCTCCCTCCCTCCCCCTGTCTCTGAAACAAAAAGATAAATAGCAAGCCATATATTCCTACAATTTAATTTTCAAAAGCTGGTGATTTCCTTCTTTTGTAGAAAATATATCTTCAGCACTCTTTCAATTATACAGAGTGAGGCAAATGTAGGTTTTACAGTTTGTAGGGAAAATAATACAATAACTAATAAATAATGATACAAGAATAAACTCTGTGTTTTGCACACTCACAACTATAAACCTACTTTTGCCCACCCCTGTACGTCCCTTTTTACTGTGCTTTGTCAGTACAACGCCAAAATGTGTGGCAGTCATTCCAACATAGTTGGCGTCCTGGAAGGAGGTCCTGTCACCACACCGGGTGCGGGGACGCCGTCAGCACCGCTGTATGTCGTCAGCAGCAGGCGGGAGGGGCGGTGAAGAGACCCTCCCCGATGGACTGATGCTGGGAACTGGGGAGGGCGGAAAGGGCAAAAGCCCTCTCTCGGCCCCTCCCCTTCTGCTGGTCCTCCGTGGAAAAGGGCACGTCCGTTAAGGGGAAGTACGGCGTTACCTGGAAGAGAGGGAACCCCGTGGAGGGCGGGCCAACAGGAATGAGTGGGAACGCGGCTCCGGATAAGGAGCAGAGCCAGACTGAGGGTGCGGGAGGCCTCGGGAAGGGAAGGAGACACTGAAACCGAAGAGGGAAAGGCCAGGAGAGGCGCTAGGGAGGCCAGGGAGGCCAGGGGAAGGGAACAGCATGGGCCGCGAGGACAGCAGCCCTTTGCACCCAAGGGGCCGGGGGTGAGCGTGACCCCAGGAGGGGGCAAGCTGGGGCCGGGGAAGGGAGACTGCAGGCACATCCGTAGAGCTGTTCCAAAGAGCAGAGTGCCTTGTCCGTGATGTGAGAAGTGCCTTTCTGGTTCACTGTGGACTGAAACGCACACATCTCTGAGGAAGTAACTTATATTGAGTGTTTTAGTTCAGTGGTTTAAAAATTAAGCATCCTGCCCTGGTCCGTGTGGCTCAGTTGGTTGGAGCACCATCCCATAGACCAACAAAGGTCACAGGTTCGATCCCCGGTCAGGGCACATACCCAGGTTGTGAGTTCAATTCCCCATCTGGGTGCATAGGAGAAAACAACCAATTGATGTTTCTCCCTCACATCTCTCTCTCTCTCTCCCTCGCTCTCTGATGAAAAAAAAAAAATGTCCTTGGGTAAAGATAAAAAAAAATTAAGTATTTTTGTCATTGAGCTAAATCTGCCTTAACTATGTGAAATGAGAGAGAAATTCTAAGTCTTACCCTTATTATGTGTAGGTTAGGATAATGAGATATAAAACATTAAGGATTAAATTATAGTTTAATTTTCTGTAAGCTTTATAGTTATATAAATATGTGTGATAAATGTAATGTAAATATGCTGTCTACCACTCAAATGCCAAGTGGTACCTTTACCTTTCTGAAGCAAACTGGCTCATCCTCTCAGACCTGCCCAGTAGTGCAGACACGAACATTTGGGGGAGGGCCTCTGGTCCTTCATCTCCTCCACTTCTGGGTTCCTTGCCCAGGCCTATGTGACCTTTGAAAGGCTAACAGCTCCTCTCTTCAAAGCTCCCACGTGCTCTGTGCACACCCCCACCTGTGGCCTCAGCACAACCCCAGGGCTGTGGGGTTCGTCCCCAGGGACCCACCCGCTCTAACTGCCCACCCTGCAGTCGCTTGAACACACACGACACAGGGACACAAGCCTCACTGCCCATGTGACCCCCCACCCCTCACCCTCTGGTCTCCGGGAACTCCCTCTCCTGTCGAGGGACACCTCACCCAAGAGCTGGAAGACATTGCAAGCTGGAGATCAAGTTCAGTCATGCTGGGCACGGTGTGAGGCATGGGAGTCGCCACCCACCCCTGTTTTAATCCAGCCTGGGTCTAGGGCTCCCCTAGCCAGTGCCCAGGCTATGCAAGTGGTGACCTTGCCACAACCGTGACACCTGTTCCCCGGCCTTCTGGTGCGTGTCACGGAGTCTGGCCTGCTCTGCCTTCCAGTTTTCATTGTCCTCAGAAGCTGACCCCAAAATACTCAAATATCCAACCCTAGCCCCTCCTAAATTGTTACCAGTGGGAAAACAAGTACCACTGGAGGCACACTGTAAAGACAGTTCATCGGTTCTCGATGTGATGCAGACGCTGTGATGGCGGTCAAATCTGTGTGTCCTGTCGCAGCCCAGATTCAAACACGTTACCCCAGCACACACCCTCTGCCTCGTCAGGCTCACTGCTTCCACCCCAGGCAGGGTCGCTGTCCCGTACCAGACAGACGAGGCCGGGTCTCAGAGGACGTGTCCACGCTTGGCCGAGGCCCTAAGGACCCCAGTGACCCTGGGCATGGCGTTCCCTGGAGGTCTCTCCAGGATGAGGACCAGATATTGCAGATGCTACAGTTCAGTTTCAACCTCTCTCTCTCTCAGACAACAGATACACACTAATTCAGTCATTCCTCAGTACATGTTGGCTTCAGAACTCGTCAAACTGTGGTCTCAATTTGACGAGAAAAGTGTCTGCACTCAGTGCTTGCTCGCCACTCGGCGCCCCTCCCTCCCAATGAAACAGAGGTCCATGGGTCAGTCTCTCGGTCAGTGGCCCGCAAACAGTTCAGTGCTCACCGGTTTCAGCACCTGTCATGAGTTCCAGAACGAATCAACAACGAGTTGCCACTGTATGTGCACATGCCTATTCACATATGTTTACATGCACAGAAGCACACATATACATAGCTGCATACATGCATATCATACAAAGGCACGACGACAGGGGGTAGTGACACAGGCACACAGACCTGGGCTCTGTCCCACTTACTAGCCTCGTGCCCTTTGACAAGGGACATTGCTAAGCATCAGTGTGTTTTTTCAAATGGGATGACAGGCCCTGGCCCAGAGACACCAGGGTTGCAGGTTCAATCCCTGGTCAGGGCACATACAAGAATCAACCAACAAGTGCATAAATAAGTGGAACAACAAACTGATATTTTAAAAAATAAATAATTAAATGGGATAACAATACAGTGATGTTACACATACATTTGACATTGTCAAATTCAACTATAGAAACTTGGTACTTATAAGTTTGCTAGAATATTGTTTAGAAACATTTTGTTTAAACTATACCCCTGAACACAAGCCCCCTAACCACTTTATTTAGTGCCAAAGTCATGGAGGAACAATGGTCTTTGTTGGATTTATTGAGAAATGGAATGCCTGCGTATATATCCACACTCACGCAGCGTGATGGCTTTTAGAGGGTCTTTCTGCATATGTGAGACCTTCGTACGCAACACTGGGCCCCAGCGTGACACTCTCACTACCTCATAACATTGTTAGAAGGTTCACATCAGCTGATCTGTATAAAGCACCTAGTTCAATAGCTGACATACGGTAAGCACTTAATAAATGTTACCTCTTATCATGAATTTTAGCTTAGCTTCATAAAAGAAGTAAGTGTAGGCTTCAGAGTCAAAGAAGACCTGGTTTTCAATCCATGGTGTCACTTTGTGGTTACGTAGCCCTGGGCAGCAGACTTAAAATGTCCAGCTACAAAATAGGCCCCTGCTGACCTAAGGTATTAAATGGGATATTATGTATGAAGTACCTAGGGTCAGCGTGGGTAGTCATCAAACATTAGTTCTCTCCCTTTTAGTTTTCATGAGTATGCATGACCATGCAGGAGGGTGGGGGGAGTCGTACATTTATATTTGCATATCTGCCTATCTGTAGAGATGGAGATGTTGCTAGTAACAAACTGGATTATCTGCTTAACAGGCCAGAAGGAAATCTCAGCTGAAAGAAAGCACAACCGGAATGCACCGTTTTTAAATTCTAAAATCAGTACGATCGTCCAGAGAAGAGAGGCTGTGACCTACCGCATACTCTCAGCAAGGCTCCACAGAATTAAAGAACTGAAAAACGAACTAGCTGACATACACCGGAAGCTGGAGGCCACGGTTGTGGAAAACCAGTTTTTGAAACAACTTCAGTTCAGGCACTTGAAAGCCATAGGAAAATATGAGACTTCACAGAATAATGTACCTCAGATTATACTTAAACATCAGAATGAAGTTAAAAATTTAAGGCAGCTACTTAGGAAATCCAGAGAAAAGGAAAGAACTGTATCCAGGAAACTTCGAGACGCCGAGAGCGAGTTGCTGAAAACCAAAGACGCCTTGCAGGCCCTCCAGGCGCTGTCTGAAGACAAAAGTCTCGCCGAGAGGGAAGAACTGACTCAGAGATTGGCTATCCTCACAACGAAAATGGAGGAAAATGACCAAAAACTACAGGTCTGTATGGCAGAGGCCCAGGCACGTTAAGGTTCCAGAATGAATCCAGGGGGCGTGCGTGCACGTTTGCACGCCAGCCTAGCACAGACCCGCCACGTGCCTCGCCACATGCCCCGCCCCGCAGGGCTTCGCAGCGGGCTGGTGTCCGCTAGGGGGCGAGAAGCGTGGTGGGGAGGTCAGCTTGAAGGAAGGACAGAGCAGCTCAGACCTGGGAGTGCCCTTCGGTTCTGGCGAGCAAGCCTGGGGCTCTTTACCCGGACAGGGCGGTTCTCTCCTGAGCGGGACCTTCCTCCCCTGGAAGGGCTGTGCTGTGCTGTGCTGTGTTGTACTGTACTGTGCTGTGCTGTGCTGTGCCGTGTTGTGTGTGCTGTGTTGTATTGTAATGTGCTGTGCTGTGCTGTGTTGTGTTGTGCTATACTGGGCTGGGCTGGGCTGTGTTGTGTTGTCTTGTGCTGTGCTGTGCTGTCTCGTGCTGGGCTGGGCTGGGCTGGGCTGGGCTGTGCTGTGCACAGCCTGCCTGAGAAAAACCAGCCCTCTTCCAACTCTGTATGGAAAGGCTGCGTCCCTGAAAACCTCACGGCACACCCCTCACTCCCTGTCCTCATGCTCTCTGTCATCGGTTTGTCCTGTCACCGCCACGCAGGCATCTTTGGTGTTTTAGAAAGAGAAATTTTCCCCACACAATACTGCTGGGAACAGAGAGGGAAAAGGAATTAAAATAATCAAAGAAACAAGTGGATTGATTTTCCTTGGCAATGCATGGTTGTCCAAAGCTTGGGGATTCCCTTTGAGGGATGATTTATCCGAACACCTTGATTCTAATGAGAATTCCGCTTATTTTCCATCAGATAGGTTTTGGTCTCTTTAGACATAAACACGTAAGTGCAATTAATTTACTGTTTAATTCTTTAGCACGCTATGGTAAGAAACCAGTATTTTCTGTGATCTTGAACTCATTAGAAAATATCAACTCATGTCACTCACTTTTTAAATCTCAGTCATCCCTTCCTTGGGAAAATCCTCCTCTGTTTCCAAAGAGAATTTTCTCCCCTAAAGGTGGGCACATGAGCAACAGAAAATCACGAGCAACTTGGTTTTCACGCACGCACACGGGACATCACAGTTCTTTTATGAGGCCTTTCGGGTGATATCAGGTCCGTGTTAGCACACGCCTGTCATGTAGAAGTAAATGTATTTTTACCTCATCTACACGTTTTTATATCTATAAACAAAACAAAGAGAATTCAAGAAATTGAGTATTTTCTTATCAGAAGCATTTGATTGTGTGAGAAATTCCACTTGGTTGTAAGGCATTTTATGTGGGGGGCGGAATGTGAGCCAAAACATGTAATTTTTTTTAAGGTTAATATTTTAAGGACTGGGGTTTTTAGTGATTATTGCATTGTTTTAGCTTACCATGTTTCCCACTTTCCTTTAATGAGAAGGAACTAATATTACAATGAGGGAAATGACACCTGATGAACACAAATGAAAGAGAAAGAAAGAAAAGGCCTTTGGCCACGCCTGTGCCAAAGTCCAAGCCAAGCGGTTCCCCGGTGACGCGGTTCTCCCTCCAGGGAGGTGGCGAGTCCTGGGCGTGGGTGGCACTCGTGCTGACTCAGCGGTCCCTCCGTCTGTGTGTGGCCCTGTGAGTCCCCGAGACAGCTTCCGCCCCAGTTAGCAGACCCGCAGCCCACGGTGGTCTGCACCGACGCTGCACAGCCCTTCAGAAAGAGAGGCTTGGGAGATTCTTAAAGAATACAGCAGGTCCTCAAATAATGTTTCCTTCAACACTGTTTCATCACAACACTGATCAGAAAAAATCACGGGTTCCTGGCGGGGACCACTGACTCTGAGGAGAGTCATTTCCTCCCCCCACGGCTGCGTGGGCTTTCCCTGGGGACCCCGGTTTCCGCCTGCACCCCAGAGATGTGCACTTGAGGGGAACCGGTGTGTCTCCCCCGTCCCAGCGTGAGGGGGTGTGGGTGTGAGTGTGCCCTGCCCTGGAAGGGCATCCCATCCAGGGTGGGTCCCCACTGGCACCCTGAGCTGTTGGCCACACATGACCCCGAACTGGAATCAGAGGGTCGGAGAAGAATTATCTTGTTTTTGTTCATGTTTCTTAAATGTATGCATAAGCTCACATTGATGTCAGTGTTTAATATTAGGATGCTGTTGGTCTTTATTTAGAGGGTTGGTGATGTTTTTATGCCCAGAACTCTGCCATAGGAATGTAACTCCAATTTATATCAGTTGGCTTCATTATACATCGTTTGCTTAAAGTTACAGTTTCCGGGAGCTCACTGACCTGCCAGGTGAGGACTCGCCGTACCCGATGCCGGGGCAGCAGAGTCCTTGCTGTCAGCAGGACTGCCTCGGTCGAACGGTGACATTGAGTACGTGTATCGATTTTCAGAACGTGTTCAAAAACTGTTTCATCGAATTCCAGAACATAAAAGACATTCAGTTCAAAACATGATGTTTATTCTCTAAAGCCATGATCTGGGATTTTGGCTTTTGGGGGTTATATTTATTTCTACTCTATGTCCCCTATACAAGTCATCCCTAAAACTGTATTAAAAAGTTGCACTTCTCGTCAATGTAGTTGGTCCCACTACAGTGGGAGCTTTTAGTACAAGTGCACTGGCTACAGAAGAGCTGAAACGTGTGCTGTTTTCAGAACTTGGAGAAGCAGCTGAGGTTGAAGACGAAAGCCTTCGGTCGGCAGCTGGCCGCGGAGACCCAGAAGACGCTGGCCACCCAGGCAGCCAAGGAGGCTCTGCACAAGGAGGTCCGGCACCTTCAGCAGAAACTGAAGGTACTTCTTTTCAGGCAAAATGGAACAAAATCTGTGCAATCCTGCTTCCCAAATTGTCAGAGCTATTTATGCCTATCATATCTGTAAACTATTTAACTCGGAGAATACGTTTCTCCACGGTTTTCCCTACAGCCGTACGAACAGACGGAGGGCCTGAAATTATTAAGATGCATTGGCAGCCGGTAAACGTGCGCTTCATTAGCAAAAGTAAAGCTCTCCTCTGTTCGCTGACAGCACTTTGTAATATGTTCATTTCATCACATGATGTAATAGTACTGTATTTTCTTAATATTTTCATGGAACCCAGGGTAAGTTTTTAAATTTAAAAATTAACTTATTAAAATAGTTAGAGTAATTTGCAAATAGGCTTGAAAAACTGTCTTTTAAAGCGTTTTAAAAAATGAGGATTAAAAATATTTTTTCAGACTTCTGCTATGTCTGCCTTCCAGATTTCTAAAATGGCCAACAAGTTGGAAAAGCTAGATAAGACACTTAAGAAATATAAATATGGCTTTATCAGGCTTCACCTAGTAAATCTAAGCTTGATTCTCTGAGGCAAGAACTTTGTTCGGACCTTTTCCCGGGAGCCTCCAGGGCGCTCACAGCAGGAGAGAGGGATGAGCGGGGAGGGCTGGTTGTTGGTCAGGTTTCCCTTTGTAGGGCAAGGAAGCAGTGGGCTCTTCCTTCTTTGGAGTCTCAGGGAACTTCAGAGAGTGCACTGTGCCCAGAATTGGGCATGACGGATGCGGACTCCAGCCCTCGGGGTCCGTGTGCTGTGGCTGCGACGAACAAATTCACCCGGACTACGCAAGTGCTGTGGAGGAAAAGGGACAGCATGGCGGCTCTCTAAGGGAGAGAGAGGGACCCAGCCCCCGCCTGGACAGGCTTTTATTGCTTTTCTGGGCACACGACATCGAGGACGGTCCTCATTTACTATGCACAGGTTCAATTTAGGTGATTACCTTTTACAGGTAACTGCCTCGACCGGTGCAGAGTGGGGGTTCCTGAGTGGGGTCAACAGGAGATGATGAAAATCACAACACAGATGGTTTAAGGAAAAGTGGGGACCAGGTGGGACATTGTCCTCTGATGGAGAGACAAAGAGCCCTGAATGTGGTTTCTGCGCCATTTGATAGGGGTTGGTTAGACGGAGCTCAAGGACAGCTTGCAAACTTAGGGAGCTGCTGCAGGCACAGACTGTTCCGTTCCCGGGCTGTCTAACTGATACATACGTCTTCTGCAAAAGTTACGGCGCATTCAGCTGAAGCTTGCGGTTATCTATCTCCCATTCAACCCCTGCGGGTTCTGGGGTTCTGGGTCCCAGCTGTGGTCCGCTGCTGGCTTGACCCGCCTAGCAGATGCAAGCGGTGCGGCTTCGTACCGCACTCGGCCTTGGCTATGATGCCAGCCTTCACCGCCCCCCACAGATAACAGAGGAAGGAATGTCGCTAGTTACATAAAAGAAAAGGATGTTTGCAGATGCAAGGGGAGAGGTGGTTGAACCTGTTACACTCCATACCTGGGAGGTTTAGCACAGACTTTAGGAAGCTGCCTTAAAGATACACAGTAAACATTTGCTGCCCCAATGCAGGGTGAGGGCGTTTCAGCAACAAGCAAGCCTCAGAGTCGCCCAGGTACCATGCAGACCTGGTTTCCCACGGGAGAACCGATCCGTGGATTTGGCTTCCTGTGTGCCGACTCACACCTGTCGGTTTTCCTATAGTGCCGGGCTACATTCGCCATGCCACACGGAACAGTTCCCTATACATGACCGTAGCAACCAGCTTAGAAAGCTAACAGGAAAAGCTTTAAGGTCCACTGGTTGGGGCAAACGTACATACACACACACACACACACACACACACATGTGCATAGGAGACACAATCAGGGAATTTCAACATAAATTTTGTGCTTTCATATGTCACCATATGCACACCTATAAATAGTATGTAGTCATTAAAAAACAATTTAACACAAGGGGGGGTGGAAACAGAGGTGGGGAGGGCTGGGGGGTGGGCTGGGATGGGGAAAAGGCAGAAAACTGTGCTTGAACAACAATTAAAATAAAAAAAAACAATTTAACAGGAAAAATACTTAATGAAATGCTTAGTGAAAAGAAAGATACAAAATCCTATATACAGTAGGGTCCAAATTTATTTTTAAAGAGTAAATAAACCCTGGCTGGCGTAGCTCAGTGGATTGAGCGCGGGCTGGGAACCAAAGTGTCCCAGGTTCGATTCCCAGCCAGGGTACATTCCTGGGTTGCAGGCCATAACCCCCAGCCACCACACATTGATGCTCTCTCTCTCTCTCTCTCTCTCTCTCTCTCTCTCTCTCTCTCTCTCTTCCCCCCTTCCCTCTCTAGAAATAAATAAATAAAGTCTTTAAAAAAAATTTTAAAAAAAAGAGTAAATAAACCTACACAGAATGTATTTCTGTGCATGTGTAAAAAGAAATGAGGAATCCATACAGTAGTAAGGAACAGTCTCCAGGACATATTGGTAAGTGAAGAAAGGAAGGCAGAGGGAAGTGTGTAGTATGCTATTATTTAAGAAAAGGAGGCAGTACAGCCCACGCCGAGTTAGCGACCTAAGCCGCACCCGCTGCCTCCCACCACTCCCCGGCCAGGCATCCCTGCAAACTGAGCAAGCTGCGAGCCTCAGGCCTGCATGAAAATGTGTAGGCGGGATCCGGGCACTCTGCATCCCAAGGACATGCGCTTCCTTAGGGGGTGGGTAGAGAGCATGGGCGATAAAATACCACCTGCCACTCATAAAATCAAATCAGAAGAAAAGAAGGAAGAAAAAACCAGCAGAAGGTGGAGGAAGACATAAAGACAAACAAACCGTCAAGTGAGGAAAGTGATACAGCAATTGACGGCGAGGATGGGATTGAAGCAGACACCGACGCCCGCCAGAATGGAAGGTGAAAATGTAGAGATAACCAAGATGCGGGATCAGGCAAAGAATAAAAAAGCGGCTGCCATCGATGCCCTCAACGATGGTGAGCTACAGAGAGCCACTGACTTGCCCACAGGTGCCTGCCATCAAGCTGAATCCTCGCTCGGCCACTCTGACATGCCAGGAGAGCCAGTGCCGTCTTCATCGAATTACAGAAGCCAAACGCTGCCATCCGAGACCGTGCCAGAGCTATTGGAGTAAATCCGGTTCGGCTCAGCCTCAGAAAGGGCGAGGGAAAGCACACAGACTTCTGGGCCACGGGGAAGAAGCAGCCCATGATCTTGCTCCCGAGTGTAAACTGGATCATGATGAAGATGCCAGTGCGATGCTGAAAGAAGTTCAGCCAAGGGCCCAGAAAGGTGCAGAACATCGGAGAGAGCATGAGCAGAACCGTGAAGAGCGAGAGATCAAAGAAAGAAGGGAAAGGGTTGAGAAGGCTCTGGAAGAACTGGAGAGAGCCCGGAGGGAGGGAGAAGCCAGACAACAGGCAGGAGAGCGGTGCAGCTCTTTCCCAGGTGGCTGTCCTGGGGCAATGCCTGGACCAGCGGCAAGGCCCAGGCCCAGTGAAACTCTCTGTGATGCAGAGGTTCTTGCCGTCACGCAAGATCCAAAAATCATGGTCATTCCAGGATGCGACTCATAACCTGGCAAGTGTGTCAGAATATCACAGCAACCCAAAGGTTATGACTCTCATCAGTAGGTTGTCAGCCAGATCTGCCAGTCAAGCGTCGTGCCTTTCTGACAGATAAAGCCCTTGACAAAGAAAAAGCAACTTGGGTCACCCAATGGATGTCACAGGGATACAAACCAGTGCGCCGCTGGCCTTCTGTGGATAAGGCTGGGGCACGCTGAGGAGAGTCCCTGCCCCTGTGCCCCGAACGCAGCTGCAACATGTGGTTTGTGCTACCATATTCTTTCAGGTAATGTTTTCCACTGGGAGTTAGAAAGTTTGAACACTTTTAAATCTTAAAAGTAATTAAAAACAAATTAAAAGGGTATGTTAAACCCTGCATTCTTCTTTACTAAAAAAAAAAGAGGAAAAAAGAAAAAAGAAAAGGAGGCCATACAAATATATCCACATATTAACTTATATTTTTAAAAGAAAAGCAGCAGCAGGGTAACAGTGGAAGTAGGATGACAACTCCAGTAGAAGAGACGGACACAGACCCTAGATTTCCCGACTGTCTCTTTGCTAAACATGACTTGGGAACCTTGTCAATATTTTGCATATTCATATTATGAAGCAAAAGGAAATGCAAACAAAAATGGAAAAGCGTTGCCGAAAAATCCAAATGACAATGAAAACAATAAGCCTGCTGTTTCCTCCAGCGCTGACGTGATGTCAGAGAAGCACCACTGCAAGCGGCTTACGACAAGTTCATTTTGCTTACTGCATTTGCCGAGGCGAACGGGTGAGGGCCGAGTTTTGCACGTGAGACGCTGGAGGTCGGTCAGCCTTGAAAAGGGCGGGAACTCTGGCACGTGCTACAGCACGGGTGGGCCTTGGGGACAGCACGCCAGGCACAGTCCATCAGCCACAAAAAGACAGACGCTGTGTGATTCCTCTTCCACGAGATGCCTGGAGTGAGTAGTCAAAGTCACGAGACAGAGCCCAGTGGTGGTCTCCCGGGGCTCTGGGAGGGCCGAGCGGGGAGTCCGCGCTCGGCGGGGACAGAGTTTCCATTTTACAAGACGGAAGGAGTTATGGGAGTGGACGGTGGAGAGTCGCCCAGCCCCGAGTCTGGGTCGAGCTCCACGTCTAGGCTATGGGCCACAGTCGGGGCATGGACGTCAGCCTCCCACGGCTCTGAGCGAGGTCCTGCACCCCAGCCAACGTCCAGCTGCACCCCAGCCGATGTCCAGGCCACAGGCTTACCCCTGCCAAAGAGGGGGTGTCTATTTAAACCTCGCTCCCTCTCCAATTCCCAGAAGCCCTCTGTGCTGGCCTCGATGTGGCTCCACACCGTGACTCCACTTCCCCTTGAACTCTGAGCGCGTGCCCTTCCCTACGAAGAGTCCACGGCGTTCCCTGAGCGTTCCTAGACATGGATTTTCTTCTTATTGTTTCTCTTGGTTGCACCCAATTGCACTCACCCGCAAGTATCGTGGATTGTGTTCTGAACCTGTTCAGGTCTTTGGTTCTGGACCCAGGCCCAGCTCTGTGACCCACCGCAAAGTAATATTTTTGTATTTGTTTGTTTGTTTGTTTGTTTGTTTTAATTCACATTTAGACGGGGGGGGGGGAGAAAGGGAAAGAGAGAAACATCAGCGTGTGGTTGCCTCCCATGCAACCCCGACCAGGGACCTGCCTGCAACCCAGGCGTGTGCCCTGACCAGGAATCAAACCAGCGACCCTTTGCTTCACAGGCCAGGACTCAGTCCACTGAGCCACACCAGCCAGGGCTGTGACCCAGCACTGAAACCTTTGTTCCAAGCATGAAGGGCTGTCCTTCTCATCGCCTCCCCTGGGCCTCAGCAGCCGTCCTGCACCAGCCAGTCAGTAGCTGTTGACCTTGACCTGCCGCTGCCTGCTCCCTGGGGCTGAAGGACACACTGACCCTCTAACTGAATTTCCCAATCAAAACCTGCCCCTCCAACTGTCGAGGTCTCTCCTGTCTCTCCCTACTCCCCGCTGCTAGGCCCTTCCCTCCCGGGCTCTCCTCTCTGCCCGGATGTGGGTGACACCCTGAACTCGCAGGCCCACCTCCTGTCGCCGGGTTCCAACTAAAACTCAGTGGTCTTGAGTCTGACAGGCTCGCCTTGTGATGCGTGTGTAAGAAGGCATGCTTGGTATTTAATCAATTCCAGTCTTTCCTCAACAAGCCGGGACTTCAAACCTTTCATTTTGCCGAGGCTTTAAAGACAACATTGGGATTTGAAGCTGAGTGGTGACGTCCGTGACCATGCCGCGTGAACACAGGCCTGTCTGGTGGCGCGCGCCGTGACCACAGAGAGCCATCCACGCCGGCCACAGCTGTGCGGAGTGTGGGTGGCAGGACTGAGGGCGGAGCTGCTCATCTAGTTTTATTTTAATTATTTTTCAATGGCAGTTTACTTTTGACGATATTTTGTGCTGGTTCCAGGTGCACCGCCTAGTGGTTGGACAATCATGCGCGTCACGAAGTGTCCCCCTCCTGATATTTCCAGCGCCCACCTGGCGCCTCGCGTGGTTGTCACGATGTTCCTGATTCCGTTCCCTGTGCTGTGCGTTGCATCCCCACGAGGTCCTGTAGCTGCCAGTTTGCCTTCTCAGTCCCCTCACTGCTGTCACCCAGCCCCCACCCCCCCTCTGTCCACCACCGGTCCGCCCTCTGTGCTGATGGGTCTGTTTCTATTTTGCTTGTTCATTTATTTTGTTCCTTAGGTTTCACAAGTACGTGAAATTATGGGGTGTCTGTCCCTGACTGACTTATTTCACTTAGCATAATACCCTCTAGGTCCATCTGTGCTGTCACAAAGGGTAAGATTTCATTCTTTTTCACGTGTTTTAATTAGCTCAAATCGCGACATGGCTAGTGGCCACCGTATGGCACCATGGAAAAGAATAATAAATGTCAGGGGACGGGAAGGAGTGAGAGAAGCTGGCTTGGAAACTTTTCAAAATTATTGTCCCAATCACAATAGTTTGACACTCTGTGAAAAAGTGCTTTTTTGATGTCAGGAATGAAATACAGTGATATGGCCTATTTCTATTTCTACTAGAATTAGAGATTTTACTCAGAGAATACTGAACTCACTTAAACTGCTTTCCAGAAGAAATCAAGGTTGATAAAAGCAAATGTTTACAGAAAAATGGGTATTGTGGTTCTCTCTAGGAGAAGGATAGAGAGCTTGAAATCCGAAACATCTACGCTAATCGGATACTGAAAAATTTACATGACACCGAAGATTATCCAAAAGGTATGTTTTCATTATTTTTCCTCAAACATCTGTCCTTAAGAATCTAGTCAGATTTTCCTAACTTCCATCACCAAAACAATGAATATTTTAAAAGTCATTTTACTAGGCATTCAAACACGTTTTGTGATTTTAGAAGAATACAGAAACCCCCGAGGTTGAGACAGCTGGAAAAGAACAGAAAATTGCACATTCCTGCCTCCCCACCTCCTGCTCAGTCCTGCATGTTCCTCCTGCAGGTCGAAGGGGGGGACTTTCGGGTTCAAGCCAAGTGGCTGCCAAATACTGAACTTGCTAAGAGTATCTAGTAGCCAGGGTGTGGATCTGAAAACCAACTCTACCTAGGCAGGGTGTGCCTCGCCACAATGCACCCATCTTGAGCGCGCCAGGCGATGGGTTCTCACAGACGCGCATCTCTTCCCACACAACCACGGCCGCAGGCAGTGTCACAGGGTCATGGTCATGGCCACGTCCCCGGCAGGCGCCCCCGGGCCCTCTTTGGGCTCAGCCGCCCGCATGCCTGGCCTGAGGCAGCCGCCGAGTCCCCGCTGTCGCAACGGTGCGGTTTGCCTGTTCTGCGACTCCTTAGAAACAGAGTCATCAGTGGTCGGTCCTCTGTGTCCGGCTCTTTCTGCCCAGCACCACGTTTGTCGGGTCGCCCGTGCTGCTGCTGCTGCTGCTGTGATTGTCCGTCTGCACCTCTTCATTCCCGAGCAGCGCTTTCCCTTCAGGACGAGGTGCACTGGCCTTCCGCCCCACGGGAGCGCCCAGCCAAACATCCCGCTCAAAACGTAGTTGTGACGGCAGCAACACCCGCCCTGGTTCAGTGGAAGTAACCGTGCCACTTCGTTGCGAAGGGCAACGGCCTCAGGTTCCCTGGCCTTCTTCCTTCACTTGCCTCCAGTTTATAATCTGGAATAACAGCCAGCAGAGACCGTGACAAACGCAGCCAGGGGACCATGCAAGCGGGATGATACCTCAGGGAAAGGGCGGCCTGGATTTCGGGGTCACGCACTGCAGCCAGGGCCACCCGAGCATTGGCCGGGGCAGCTCTGAGGTGGGGTAGGGGGCCCACGCCCACAGCCTTGCACGTCTGAGCCCTGAACCCAGTCTGCAGGCAGGGCCGCAGGGCCCTGGGATGCAGCGCAGGCCTGCCTGCTGCCTGCCTGCTTTGGAGCCGGCCACCGGCAGGCACTCCCGTAAGCTCTGTGGCCCAACACAGGACAAAACAAGGGCAGTGGCAGGGGAAACACAACGGCGGCAAATGGTAGACGGATGCTGAAAAATTTTAGAAAACATCTAGTGTGCTCTGTTCCATGACGTTGCGCAGTGTGATTTTATACTAAAAATCGAGATTGCTTCCAAATGTCAGGTGTGTTTCTAATGTGTAACATACCTGTTGTGCAGTGTCTTCAACAAAGTCAGTACAAGCGGACAGGACGGGCGCTCCAGCCACCAGTGTGAGGCACCAGGAAACCCAGAAATCAGAAGATGCCCCCGCCTGGATGACTAAGGTACGGCCCGGTTGGCGGTCTCGTAGCGTCTAATCAAACCGACCTCTCTGCGAAACCAGGCTGCAGGCGCCTGTTCCACACAGACAGTGTTTGTAGTCCTGCACGAAATGCAGTTCCAAAGTGTCTGCACCCCACTGACGAGGTGTCGCTGCTCTTCTGAATTGCAGAGTAAAAAGACGACAGGAAACGCTGGTCATAAAGAAAAGCCGACGGAAACGGTCCGTGCAATTCCTCGCTACAGCAGCAAACTACCAAGCCAAGAAGGTTCCGAGAGAAAATACGAAGGTAATTGAACACCTTTTCATTCATGTTTACCCTTACTGATTTTTCTGAGCTGGGAATTACTGTGTATGAAAGCACACATAAAAGACATACTGTGCGAAGAATTATTATAAGACTAATACCGTGTAGCCACTATCCTAAGAAATGGAGCATGAGTGTCCCCTTGGATACACTGTGGGCCCTTCCCAACCACATCCCCTGCCCGCCCCCCAGAAAGCACCACACTCCTCAGCCAGCTCTTCATGCCCTTGCCCGGCCGCCCCACTCCCTGTCCTCGTGAGGGTCCTTCAACAGCGTGTTCAGGTTTGCAAACTGAGCGGCAAACCGAACCCGGCTGAGTGCAGGGCCACCCTGCCACTAGTGGAGACTAACCCAAGACTTCCCGGAAGGGAGAGCTGGACGCAGACCGTGGCTCATCTCCCCCCGAGGGCACAAGGGTTAGGGTTAGGGTTAGGTCCTGCCCCATCCTGGGTGCAGAGAGCCCGTGGGTGCACAGCATCTGGCAGGGCTGCTCGGCGGGTCCGGGAGGCAGCAGTTCGGGTGGAGCGGGCTGCTCGGGGTTTCCTGTCCCACAGTCCCTGGAGCTCCCCTGCAGCTCCGGGCGTAGGTCAGGGCGGAACGCTTCCATGGGGTGAAGTGAGCCCTCGGCCCACCCAGGTGGTGGCACATGATAGGGCAACACCTCCATCAGGCCGTGGCCAAGACGGGCCAAGGACCTGCTCACCGGGCATTCGCTGCCACAGGGATGGAGACCACCAGGGGTCTTGGAGACACCAGCCCTTAAGGAGGCTTAAGCCTCCTTGCCTCTGGACTCGGAGACTGGTGTCTCTGGCGCGAAGCTGTCACCCTGGGATTGCACGTCACCAGAGGGACCAGGCCCGCCTCCTGAAGGCCAGCTGGAGACCAGTGCCACAACCCAGACGAGGGACGAGGTATGCGGGCGGGCCTGCAAGCGGTGGAGGTGGGAAACAAGCATTCCACCGGTCTCCAAACTGTAACATGTACGGGTCCTAGGGCATAACCTTAGCAATCATTTAGAATTAACTATAGACCTTGCTGGCTTCTCTGCTCACCACTGATTCTTGAAACATATTTCTTCCCTTATTAGAATTCCTTTTTTTATTTGCCTGGCGCATAAATGGTTTTGTTTTAGAATGTGTTCGCATGGAACATTTGCCAGCTTTCTGATGTCCAGCACTGTCCCCACAAACAACTGGCCATTCCGATTTGTAATCAAACAATGGTCTCGTGTGAGGAATGTGTGGGCGGCCTCTGTGGGCTTGTGCATTGGGACTCGGGTGTGTCTTTGCCCGTAAGAGGCGAGGACCGGGAAAGGACCGCCCTTCCTGATGCAGCTGTTTCCCTTGACAACACACGGAGAAACCTTTTCCTGAGGTGGCCTGTTCACCCACCTCATTCTTGATCACAAATGCCTGGAATTCCACAGGCTGCACGTACCCTCATTATTTAACCATGACCTGCCTGGCTTCTAGGACGGTTCGCTGTTATTAACCATGCTCGGTAACATCCTTATGCTACACGTTGTGCACTTTTGTAAGGTTTGGTCCTAGAAGTGCAGATGTTGTGGCTAAGACTATATCCACATGAAATTGTGACAGATACCGCCAAACTGTAATCTAAGTAATCCATGCCAACTTGCACCCCCGCCGATGGGGAATGGAAGCTCCAATTTCCCCATATTCTCACCAGCTCTGGAAATTACTGGCCAATTGGGTGGGTGAAAAATAGCCTCATCGTCTTCACTGGCGCTACATCCAGCTAGTGGTGCTGGAACTTCTAGTAATACCTTATAGGCAAATTTTTCTTTTTCTTTTTTTTTTTTAGAAGCCACCTGGACTGTGTTCTCTTCTTCTTACTCTTCCAAAGGAAGAGAAGAACTGTCATCGAGGGCTATTGGTAGTTGCAAAAGCAACACCAAAAGCCGGCTTCACACTCAGGAGAGAACGCTGTGCCGCCTCCTCCTGATGGTTTCGGTGCTCTGCAACATCCAGAGAAACCCCTCTAGTAACGAACTACAGAAATGATCCCTGAAAGTACAGTCTTCACATTTTTCTTTATGAACATCACCTTTCTTTTGGTTTCCTACTTCTCGACCATGCAGTATGTTCTAGGAGAAGGCAACATTTCGTGCCTGTGAATCGCACCCTGCCCACATTCCAGTGCTGCGTACATTTATCTTCTGGCCTTTTTTGTCGTGTTACTGTCCTTGTAAAGAAGTGTGGCAAACGTGCATGCCATCTCAAAATAAAAGTCCACTCCGTTTAAAGGTCCCCAAATTGATCATCTTTCTAAATGCAGGTTTATCGAAGGAAGAGGAACAGTTGAGGGCACAAGCAGCTCCAGAGAACACTGGAAGGCAGAGAGAGAAGAAAGCAGATCAGGAGAAGAAAATCACTTTAGAAAAAGAACAAGAACCACCACCCGAGAGAACTCAAGTCACTCACCTCGAACCGGGAGGCCAGCAGGGAGACGAAGCGGCAAAAGAAGGGGTTCCAAAAAGCCTACAGATGAGTGACGCGGACGAGGTACCGAACAAGAACGCTGCTGCCAACATGAAAATCCTCCTCAGACAGAGGAAGCGTTACTCATTCACGGTAGCTACCGAGAACTTGCACCACGGGCTCCCTGCTTCGGGGGGGCCCACCCCAGGCCCCAGGAGGTGCAACCCGGGCCCAGACAGGCGGCGCGGGGCCAGGGAGGGCCCGAAGCCCGAGCACTCCGCCAGCATGTACGAGCCCTCCTTCGGGAAGCCGTCCCGGACAAAGGCAGCGGGGGCAGCGTTCAGGGACAAGAAGAGCAGTCTGATGCGGGAGCTCTTCGGGGCAGGCTACGTCTTCAAAAAGGACCGGGCCAGTGCTATTAGAGAAGGGCCTGAGGAGACCTGGAAGAGCACGAAGGTGCCCCAGCCACCCCCCGGTCAGACCTCGGCCAGCAACGCTTTCGGAGACTCGAAAGTGACTGTGGTGAACTCGATTAAGTCATCCTCACCTACAGAAGGAAAAATAAAAATAATTATTTAAACAAGATCGATGTTCTACTGCATTCGGGTCTGACGGCCTGGTTCTTTTGCGGCTTCACCCTCGTGGTCTGGTGTGTGTGTCTGTGTTTTCAGCACATACGCTGACTTTGGGTAGTTAAGGTTTTGTTTTATTGTTAATCTAAAGTTTAACATCCATTGTATATTAGCTAATGACAGCATCTCTAATACAAAGCTACATCTTTTTTTTTCCTATAACTGAGACGTAGCAACAGAGTTTAAAAAAAACACAGTCCAAAAAAATCGCCAAACACATGAAAACAAGGTTTTGAGAGAACTGAGAGGAACAATGCATGAGGACCAGATCTGCAAAGACTTCGCCTGTTGGGCCCAGAAAATAAATTATTTGTTATACCCAGAAAATAAACATTTAAAGAAATAAAAGTAGTTTTTGGAAATGGGGAGGGGGGTCTCTGCCTGCAGAGTCCCCCACCCCCCCACCCCCGCCGTCTGCCACAGAGGGGAACAAGTCCACCAAGACAGGATCCGCCTGGGGAGGAAAGGCGCCGATCTCTCAAAGGAGAAGGGCCGGGAGCCAGTTCCTCAGTGGGCTTTCACCGGGTTCCGTTTGCACAGGAACACAGGTAAGGCTCATCAATCACTGTCAGGCAGTAAGGCTCAAACAACAGCATACAAAAAACTACCAGGGCTTATTCTGAGTCAGGCTCAGTTACCTAAGGGGCTATAAAACCTTGGGAAACAAACTCGTTTCCTGCTCGGATTCTTATCAGAAAACTGAGGACATTCTTAGCAAAGCAGGTTTCACGGGATCTTATTCATTCTTTCTTAGGCTTGATCACCCCAGGGAACCCGCCCTTTCTAGCACAGGGCTGCACCACCCTCCAGCATTGTTCCAGGCTTAAGTCAGGCAGGGGAAGTAAGGCAGCCAAGAGAATGGGAGACTTCTTGCAGACAGAATGAGGACTCAGGCTATGTCAAAGCTGAGGGGCGAGGGTCTATCACCCCCTTTTTCTATAGCCCCCCAAGTCCTTCCCTGAGGGCCCCTTCATGACTGTGCCTGTCTTAGGCTGACCCTCCCTTGAGGAATCTTACCCGTCATTGGCTAACCAGTCATCTGCCCAGGGCCAAGCAGGGTAAAGTGAAGGGTGCAGAGGCGCCGACACCCTCCCCCGCCAGGAAGATAAGCTTTGTCTCCTCAGTGGCGTCCCAAGGTCTCTCACTCAGCCTTAGCCGTGGGGGGTTACAGCTTCTGAAACCAGGCAGGCCAGTTCCCAACAAGTGTGAATAAAAAGAACAAGAACTCAGCATATGTGACAAAGAACTCAAAGACATAATAGTTTAAATTGACACACAGGCTGAGGAGCTGATGAGACCAGCATGCAGAGAAGAAAAGACAGACCTGAAGAACTGATCAGCGTCAAAGCGCTGAGAGACAGAGAGGAAAATAGGGGAGGCAGGTTAGCAGACACAAACAGAGCGGAAGGTTTAACAACATCCACTCCATTTCCCAAGGACAGGGAAGACAGAACGGAGCAGGGCTCAGTATCTAAACAAAGCCGAAAACTTCCCAGAACTGGCAACAGATTTCAATCCAATGTTTTAGAAAGCACAATAAACGCCCAGGAAAATAAACAGACATTGAAATAAAGAGAAATTCACACCCAGCTAGATCACCATGAAACTGCCAGGCACCAGAAACAAAGAGAAAAGATCTTAAAAGCAATCACATAGCCAAAGGCGGCTTCTCATCAAAGCAACAGCTGCACTTCTCGGCGGCAACCACGGAAGGCAGAAAACAGTGGAACTGAACTTTTAGCACGGTGGGGCTATTATCCTGGAATGCATACCCTCAGAAGCGATCAAGAATAAGGAAGAAACGGACACATTTTCAGAGAACCAAAAACAGAGATGGCCAGCATTAGCACTTCACTAAAGGAAACTGGAAAGCAAAGATCAGCAAACTTTTTCTGTAAAGGACCAGAGAGTAAATACTTTAGGCTTCACAGGAGATAAACCCTCTGTCGCAACTACCCCTCCATTGTAACGTGAAAAGAGACAACATGAAAACAAGTGGGCACATCAACAAACCACAGCCTGGGGGCTGAGGCCAGCCTGCTGCCTGCTTTTGCACGGAGCAGCCTGTGAACCCCCATCTCCACAGATAAAAGTCAAGCAGAGGGAAAGTGATTTGAAATACAGGGTCTCATAGGAGAGAGCAGTAAATGTGTAATTCTAAACAAGTGTCTACTAGAAATGATAAATTGGCAAAATAGCAGGATCCAAAATTAACATTCAGAAATCAGTTGCATTTTTATATGCCAATAATGAACTAAAAGAAAGGGAAATTAAGACAACAATCTCATTCACAATTGCTTCGAAAAGAATAAAACACCTAGGAATAAACCTAACCAAGGATGTAAACAAGTGTTATTGCTTTGTGCATCCTTCTCCTGTGGGGTTACAAGAAGTTAAGATACAGCTGAAGTATCATTTATGTACACACATATACGTATATATATCACAAGGGAATGTGACAAGGGAAGCACTGAAGTTAATGGGTTATGAGCCTTACGCTGCTGAAGAGGAGAGCATTGGTAGATTTTCTAGTGTAAGCACTAAAAAAAGAATCAACTTCAAAATATAAGGTGGAGAAGGGTGTGAAAAAACCAAAGGCAATTGTAAGATGATGAAAAACAGAAGTTGCTCTCTGCCCCCAGGTCCTGACACGGGCCCCTGAAGCCCTAGCACTTCCTGGGGTGGCAGAGTGTCTTCTGTCCCGATGAGGCAGCTCTGGGTGGACACCTGGGTGGTCCCAGGACGGGGCTGGTCCCCAGAAAGACCGGAGCCTCGGGGAGAAGCTGGGACTCTGTGGCCCCGCCCCCGCCCCTTGAGAAGGGAGGGGGTGCGGAACTTGGGGTTGGAGACGGACCGTGGGACTGTGTCTTCGTGGAGCTTCCGGTTGGGGAGCACCCGGAGACGGCGGGATAGTGGTGCTTCCCCCCATCTCCTCCATCTGCACGTTCCCCTGGATCCCCGATCGCATTCTCGCATAATGAACTGGTAAACGGAAAGCGAACTTGAGTCCTAGAGTTTGCTCTAGCCAATTAACTGAACCTGAGGAGGGCTCCAGGGGACCTCTGATCTATAGCTGGTCGGTCAGAAGCACAGGGGACAACCCGAATTGCAGGTAGCACCTGACGCAGGGCAGCCCTGTGGGACTGAGCCCCTGCCCTGCGCGACCTGACGCGCTCTCCAGGTAGACGGTGTCAGAATAGTTACGTTGCTGGGCACCCAGCTGGCGTGGCAGAGCACTGCTTGCTGTGGGCTAAACCAACCCCCCGCCCCCATGGCCTGTGACCAGAAGTGTCAGAAGTGTGGGAGCTGTGTGAGTAGTGAAGGAGACACACAGAAGGAAAGAACAGTAGGTTTTCCTAAAACGGCAAGCAAGGAGGAAAAAGGAAACAGAGAGAGTGGAATGAATAAAAATACAAATGAAGCAAAAACTGACAGAACTACAAGTCGAAGTCATGGTGTGAGCCTTCACATACCTCTCTCAGTAATGGGTGGCTTACTTGAATACGACGACTGATAGATTGCTCTGACCTAGCAGACATACACAAAAGACCACACCCAACAACTTCAAATTTTACATTTTCTGTCACATCTGGAGCATTGGCCAAAATTTTATCCCACTATATTTGAAAGTTGAGAAGAAATGGATAAATCCCTACACTAATATGCCTAATGTGACTCAAGAAGAAATGTGAAACTGAATATCCCTACTACCGTTAAAGAAATTGAAATCAGGAGCTAAAAAAATCTTCCAAAATGAAAAAGGCCAGTTTTTACCATCGTATATTCAAAAAATAAATAACTTAGATCTTAATCTGATCCAAAATAAAGAATAAAATGTTTGTGAATAAATTTAACAAAAGAATTACAAAAGTAATCATCTAAAAACTAAAATTAAACAAGATCAAAATAAATGGAAAGACATCCATGTTCGCGGATTGGAAGACTTCATGCCGTTAAGATGACATCACTCCCAAACTGATCTACAGACTCGATACAATCCCTGTCAGAACCCCTGCTAACTTCTTCGTGGAAACTGACAAGCCAATTCTAAAACACACATGGCATCGCAAGGGCTAGCCTAAACAATCTGTAAATTGGAGAACGCTGTTGGAGGATTCACACTTCCCAGTTTCAAAAGTTACTCCAAAGCAACAGTAATTGAACCCTGTGGTACCGATGTAAGGATGGACATGGAGATAGATAAAACCGAACTGAGAGTCCAGAAATAAACCCGTGTGTCTAGTCAACTGATTTTTGACAAGGTGGCCAAGACCACTCAGTGGGGAATAGGTTCTTCAACGGTGCTTAAATGACTGGATATCCACATACAGAAGAATAAAGGTGAACCCCTACCTCACTCTGTATACGAGAATGGACTCAAAATGGATCAGAGACCTAAATGTAAAAACGAAGACTATGAAACTCTTACAAAACAGAGGCATACATCTGGGTGGCCTTGGACCTGGCAATGGATTGTTAGATGATCCCCAAAGCACAAGCAACCACAGAAATATTGGCAAAAGCCACGTAACAGTCATTCCACTGAGACTGAACTCACTGGCAGGGAACAGCCACTGCCGAAAGACAGGCGCAGACGACCTTCCAAACACACGGCAGCGAGGCTGACCCGCACACGCCGGAGCGGCGAGCTGGGGGAGGAGGAGCCACCTGCCCCGGGATCTGCGTGCTGTGCGGACTCCCCACCCACACAGCTTTGAATCCGGTGGCATCACTGAAGGGCTTGCAAGAGAACAGCACCCTAGAAAATTCTCCTAGTAACTGTTCATTGGTGACACCCCAACTACAAAGAAAATACAGTGTATGTAAAAGGCATACATGGCCCTCGTGGGAAACCATTATGTGATTTTTTAAAAATTAAATATTACTGAGTATTGGCTTAAGACATGTTAGGAGGGGTATTTATAAAAGCACAAGGAACAGTCTGTGGCCCTAAAGGCACTTGCAGTGTTGCTGGAAAGAAAACCCTTTATCACATAAAAAGTATCTAACAGTAGAAACAAAATCACACAACAGCGAACACCAATCAGCTGACATATTGGCCACATAGATAACACTTACAATGGTCAGACTGAGAGAAGAAAAAGGAAATCACTGTCATCTAAGAGGGTCGGGGGTGGCTTTATAAACAATCTCAAAGGTCCGCCACAACACACAGAGATGGGAGGGGAAGGTCGGCACTCACGCACACTGTCCTCACGTACAGCTGCAGCTGAGTAAGAAAAATCACGGGAGCCCAAGAGCCGAGCCAGGTCAGGGGAGAGAGAACTCGTCTGACTAGCACTTCACCCAGCTGTGCCGGCAACGAGAGCATCCTATTAGCCCCATGCAACAAATGACTGTGGGTGTGCCTCTTAAAAGACTTCCCTGCTTGATTTACTGTAAATATTCAATAGAAAGCAAGCAGAGCCCTGGCTGGTGTCGCTCAGTGGATTGGGCGAGGGCTGCAAACCAAAGGGTCGCCGGTTCGATTCCCAGTCGGGGCACGTGCCTGGGTTGCAGGCCAGGTCCCTAGTGGGGGCCATGTAAGAGGCAACCACACACGATGTTTCTCTTCCTCTCTTTCTCTTTCCCTTCCCCTCTCTCTAAAAATAATAAATAAAATTTAAAAAAAAAGCAAACACAATTGGCATGAAGACAGCTTTAGGTGTTTTAAATCAAACAGATGTCTCTTTTCATAACCTATAAACTATGCCCAGTATTTTTAATAGAAACACAAGCCTATAGCCATCCATAAATAAATATAAACATGCAAATGTTAACGCCAGTAATCCCAGGTCTGTGGAATGGGGCGGGGGGGGAGACCTTGCTTCCTCGCTCCTTTCCTATACATTCCAAGTAGGATTTTTTTTAAAAAGGCAGGAGACAGTTATTTTTTTAGGTACTACTTTTATCATTCAAAAAGAATTTTATTTTAAAAGCACACATATCAACATCCATAACTGTGTGGAACATCATCGGAAGAATCACAAGAAACGGGTAACAGTGAGAAACTGGAGACTTGGGCAACGTATCAGTACAAGGGTCAGGAAAACACATACCTCTCATTTCATCCCTTTCTGTATCTTTTGAACTCAGGACCACATTTATTTATTTAAAAACAAATAGCTTTTGAAAAACCACAAAGACGTGAAATATGACCGACATTCAAATTTCCCCTATTGACCATGCTCTTCATTAACTACTAGTGTACACAGAAAGCCTGAACGGCTGCGAGCTGTAAACCTGTTCCTCTAGCCTCAGTGAGATCTGTCAGGATTGCAGCATTAACTGAAAGAATGTATCCTTGGGAGACAGATGAGGGTCTCGTCAGGGAGACCTCATCAGATGTGTTCCGAGGACGTCCCTGGGCATGCGCGCCTGGCCGCCGCACAGTGCCGACTGCACAGCCCCGCCCCCCGCCCCGCGCTTGAGGCCCGTAGCTCCCTGCAAACGGGGCGGCGCCGGACCCTGCGACTTCCTCGTGCCGCCACCACCTGCCTCCCAGGTTGGCTTCGCATCCCTGGTGGCCAGGATGTGCCCCGCGTGGTGACTGAGTCCCCACGAGGCTGTCTGCTAGAAACACGCTGTGTTCCCTGTGCTGCCTCCTTTCTTAGGGCCACGTCACCGTGCTACCGCGCCCGTCTGAGCGATCGGGGCAACCAGACACCCACTCCGCGGTGACAAACCGAAGTGACACAGCACGGTGTCTCTTCACGGCACCATCAGCAGGAATCGGAGAGAGCCCCTTGCCGGATCATTAGGGACACAGGGATACAAGCATGACCTTTTCAAAGCTAGGGAATGGTGTGGGCACAGCCTGTGGGAGTCGGGGTGGGCTGGGCGGAGGGGGGCAGAGGGGGAAAGACTGGGACAACTGCAACAGAACAAACAAAATTAAAAAACCAGGGGCGGGATTTAGCTTGATGGTGCCGTGGCCCACTCGGTCAACAGTTAAAGCCCTCTGCTACTTGTCAGTTACAGACTGGTCATGGCAAACAGCGGCCGTAAAGAAGGGAGTCACACAGGCACTTGCACGGATTTTAATTAGAAAAAAAGTGTTTTAAAAAGTATTTAGCAGAATTACACTTTATGGGTCAAACATGTAACCATGAATTAATTCATCAGGCTTCCTGCTTTTTTTTTTTTAACTTTGTTCCATTCTATGGACTATAAATATTAAATGCTTATAAAATACACTTCATTTGCAATGCTTTAAATAACAAAACACACAAATCAAGTACAAGACAATGCATTATGGTTTCCTGAATACAATGATAAAACCTGGAAATGAATAATTAACAGCGTCAAGTAAGTAGGTAACGCCTACCAAAGGCCTGCTCGGCCACGGACATTCCAACCAGAGGAAAAGCGCGGGCATTGTCGGTTAGTGTTACTCCTTAACAGCGCTCGCTGCATGACGTTAAAAACACATTTGCAAATCCCACCAGTGACCTTAAGTAAGTTGCTTTCTCACCCGGGTTAAAAAATAATATGAAGTCTTTGAAGTACTTAAGTTATTAGAAGAGGCTGACTTTCCAGTTGGCAGTGTGACCTTTAAAACACACCGAGAGTGCGAGTCGTGAGTGACAACACGCAGCCGCCGCCCGTGACGCCACAGACGTCTCATCACGGCTCTGCTGCTGAGCGGGCTCAGGGCCAGGCGCGCACCTCGCCGTTCTTACGAGAATCTCGCGTGAAGTCCAAGAACAAGCACATTCGACAGAAGAACTAACCTGTGTGCTTTTGTCTCTTTAAAGAAAAATAGCAAAACAAGAACACAGTTAAGCCAGACTTTTAACCGCAAGTCCATTTTTAAAAGCATCAGAGCCGTATCTGTGGTCCTTCTCAGCTGAAAGGGTGAAGCACAATAGCCACCACTTTGTTACACACTAAGATCCAGCAGGTAATCCCGACACCACCTGAAAATGAAGAAATCCGACATCAGAAAGCACACCAGGAGTTCTGCCCACACTCCCGGCCTGCGCTGCCTGTAACTTAGAGGAAGTGAGAGGAGCTCCCTTATCTTTGAGCAGTGCTGGGCTAAGACCACGTTTGTATTTGGTGGGTTCATTCATCCCACTTCCTATTGATTCAGGGGGCTGCCTTCACTACTCAGGAATTACTCAGAACAATGAGCACTGGTTTGAATGCCTCCTCCCTGCCTGAGAAACATGCTTTATTACTTATGATATCAACAGACTGTGAGACCCCTCTGTGAGGCTATTTCTTTTCCTTTCTCCAAAAGGCTTTATAAATGAAGCCTGTTTCCCCACACTGTTCCTGTCCCACTGGTCAATGAGACAGGAAGACAGGCTGCGAGAATGGCTAGTGGCCTGCTGGCTGCCCGGGAGCGTGGCCTCCTGCCCCCGGCACTGCCTGGAGGTTGAGCGGTGAGTAAGCGGAGTGGGAGGAGGGGAGAGGGCGTGGCTGCATCGGGGATCTCTGAAACAGTCGTTCCTTGTACTGCGGTAATTCACCTCCAGCGTGATCACAGATCACAGCCAGAGGCTGCCCGACAAGGACGTGTGCAGCAGCATTACTCTTGGGAGAAAAAATCAGGATCTAAATAAATATTCTGTCACAGGGAAATCAGTAAATCATGACACATCCAAACAAAGAACAACTATTCAAAATTTCTTAATAAATAGAGGTGTACTGATACAATACAATATTGTACCAATGGAAGGCTTACAATATAAAGTAAAAAGGGACAAAAAAATTGGACAACTGTAACTACACAGGAGTGGCCAAAAGTACAGTTGTTCATGTGGAGAAATATGTAATACAAGAATAAATAATAACACAAGAATAAACTGTGCTTTACATACTCACAACTGTAAGCCTACTTTTGCCTACCCCTGTATAAAAAGAAACAGAAAAAAATTATTTTTTTATTGGTCTTATATATTTGTAGTCACTCTACAGTGACACGTACTACTTTTACCATCCAAAAGAAACTATATCTTTCAACACTGGAGGCCGAGAGCCATGAATGCCCTCACCTCGCACAGGAACGGACCAGAGGCCACAGAATCTGGGGACCCTCGTGGGGTTTGACTGAACGGGCTACCAGCCTGCAGGCACTGGGCTAAGACTCCAGAAGCAGATCGGGGATGACTCTGGCTCCGCCACTGAACATTCCGGTGTCACCAGACAAGTGGCCCCTCTTAGGTCTCCACTTCCTTCGCCGCAAGCCTCGCGAGGCTGAGGCCAAAGCCCCGCTCTGTGGTGAAACGAATGATGTGGACGACGTCAGGCTGACTTCATCTTCTTTCTACCACACTCCTCCTTGTCTGTCTCTCCGTATTCTCCCACTGCGTGTTCCGGAAGACTCTTACCTGCGACTCTAGTGGGAAATGCCACCAGGCGGTCCAGCGGAGTTATCCATTTACTCGGCACCACGGCCACAGGCACAGAGTAATACTTCCAGATGAGGGAGACCATCAGGGCAGCCTGCAAAGACACTGCTGGTGGGCGGACACGACCTGCCAGTCATGCGGCCAGTCATGTCATCACAGAAAGACGAGGAAACATGGAAACAAACTAAGGAAACTCTCCAGTCGATGACCTCGAGCCCTGTCAACCCAGTCTTGGCAGCCAGCGGGTACCGATCACATATACAGCTGACCCTTGAACAACACAGGGGTTAGGGGCACCAACCCCACAGTCAGAACTCCCAGTGTAACATCTGACTCCTCCAAAACGTAAGCACTAATAGCTTACTATTGACTGGAAGCCTTACCAATAACAGAAACAACACATATGTTATATGTATTATTATTATTATGTAAGTATTGTGTTCTTACAATACAGTGAGCTGAAGAAATGTTACTAAGAAAATCGCCTTGGCTGGCATAGCTCAGTGGATTGAGCATGGGCTGCGAACCAAAGTGTCGCAGGTTCGATTCCTAGTCAGGGTACATGCCTGGGTTGCAGGCCATGACCCCCAGCAACCACACATTGATGTTTCTCTCTCTCTCTCTCTATCTCCCTCCCTTCTCTCTCTAAAAATAAATAAATAAAATCTTAGGAAAAAAAAGAAAATCATAAGAGAAAATACATACATACATTTTATGCATTTATGACATACTTTTTTCTTAACATTTTTGATATTTCTAGGCTACACATGGTTCATCTGTGAGGGTTTTTAAAAAGATATTGTTCATTTATTTTGAGACAGAGAGGGAAGGAGGGAAAAAGAGAAGGAAAGAAACATTGATGTGCGAGAGTAACATTGATTGGCTGCCTCTCCATGTGCCCCAGTCAGGACCTGGCCTACAACCCAGGCATGTGCTCTGACTGGGAATCGAACCAGCAACCTTTTGGTTTACAGGACAACGCCCAGCTGAGCCACACCAGTCAGGGCTTTTTTGGTCAAACTGCCTGAAATCTCCAAAATTCTTTCCAATATATTTATTTTTCAAAAATCCTCATATAGGTGGACCTGTGTAGTTCAAACCCATGTGGTTCGAGGGCCCACTGCACACACTAGTACATTAGCTGATAAATCAGCCAAGGTCTCCCATAACACAGGTGTTCTTTTCTCACGGAATATCTCCTCTGAGAAGCCAGGCTGTGATAAATGCAGCTCATCGGTGACAAAGTCGACCCTATGCAGCGAAGACCCCACCCACACTTGATGCTGGCATCCACGGGCACGGGGCCCTCTGCCAGGGTTTGCGGTGGGTGGAGCAGCAGTGCCGCCCCTCCCTCCGCTCCCTAGCAGCGTTTCCTCAGTTGTCTTCCGCCCCCTTTGTGGCCCTGAATGCCCACTCAAGTGAGGAGACCTCAGAGAGGCCTCGGACTCCACCCCAGCCCCTGAGAAACCCATGTCGTATCAGAGTGACAGTGCCTCAGGACCAAGGCGCCCAGTACCTACTGTACCCCGTATCTACCAGGGCTGGTCCAGAGAAAGGCTTTCTTTTAGTCTGACTTATAAATCCACACGGTGTTCAGAGGGACGTGCTGGCAGCACAGCACAGCAGCTGAAGGTGGAAAAACCTGCATTCCCAGACCTGGGTTCCACGGGCCAAACGGCTCTGGGACAAAGTCCATTACCAACTTGAATGATCCCAGTGACACAAGAGGACACTTACTTGCAGTATATAGAAGGCAACACTCATAACCCACTTGATCTTGGCCAGCTGAGCTGTCCGTGATTTCACTGAAAGGAAAACCAGGATGAAACGATTACATCAGTCCTAAAAAGGGAAGAAAATATTCAAGTACCTAGAAATGTTATTTCCTCACAAAATATTTTCGAATCACATATGTAAATATAAAATACAGTATCTTAAGGAAGCCTTAAAGCTATTCCCCTAAATCAGAGATTCTTTTCCCAACGCACTTGGCAACAGGACTAAATGTCCTCCCGATTCCCCGGCCCACACTGCACACTAGCCCATCAGGGAGTCCGGTTTGCCTCGGGCCTAGGCAGGCCCCTCTGCGTGTTCTACTGGCCGTGGAGACAGCTCCCTCACTGTGCACACGCCCAGCGCACAGCCCGCCCCGAGAAAATCACCTTCATCACAGCAGACTGTCGGGGCGGCGGCAAACGTCGAAATGAGTAAGACCCGAGCTCTAGCCCGAGTCCGCTCTCAGAGACGGACACTGCTGGGCACTTCGAGAGAGTGGACCAAGAAAGCTCCTGAGAGTCCACTTGGCGATTTTTTTTTCTAGGCTTCTCTCAGAAAAGTGCTGAATATGAAAATGACAACTAAGACGTCAGCTCTAAAGAAACTCTAGGAGTATCTTGGATGTTTCCGTGTTTGGAAAGCAAAGGTTCACCAGCAAGTGAAGAAAAAGTAATCATTATTATTGGGTTTCTCCTACACAACTTAAAAGTTTATGTCAACATGTAGAACATCCAAGAATCAGTGCATATATTGTACGAATCTTTATATAGAGACTTCTCTATGAATCGGCTCTCATGAAGCTTTCCAAGCCACAGTTGAGAACAGTACCGTGAGTTTTGAGCTTATCTGTCATCTTGTTGATCTTCCTTTCCAGCCTGGCGTATCTGGCGAACTCGTCCATCATGTTGACGGTGGATAGCTCCTGCTTCATGTCCTGGATCTCTGCTCTCATCTGAGACTCCTGCTCCGCATCCTTCTGCAGCACCCTGGACATCTGGTGGGGTGGGCAGCTGGGCTCAGAGCCTTCCCCCTCGGGGTAACAGTCTCCCTCCCACCCCGCACCGTCCTACCTGCTGCCTACCTCTCTCAACTGGACAAGCTGCCCTTTTCCTAGATAGCAGCCTCCGCTGCCTTGTCCTGGCCCTGCTCCCGAAAACCACAAAAACTCGCTCCCATTTGAATCGCTATTCGCATTATATTTTTTTATTTTGCAGACATGCCAATGGGTTGCTATGGGACAAATGTATCTTTCACTATAACTGTAAAATTGTAATTATAAAATAAAAACTATTTCCAACCCCAGAGCTGTCATTCGGGTACACAGGCCATGCTGCTTCTTCCCTCCCTGAAGAATTCAGTCCTAAATAAGCTAAGTTGGCAAAGCAGGAAGGGGGTGCAGAGTGCCAGTGACGGCGATGCAGAGCCCGCGCACAGTGAGGAAGACATTCTCGTACAGAGACACTCTGGCAGGGAGAGAGAGGGCAGGAGCGTGGTCAGAGCCGAGTGTCGTGACATGGGGATCTCCCAGAAAGGGCAACCTGACATGGGAGTCGGGCCCCGAGCAGAGTGAGGGGCGCATGCGCGGTAAGAGGAGGGTACCCAGCCGAACACGGTATCAGAGCCCAAGTAGGGCAGGAGGGCATCCACCCTGGAGCGGGGGTGGCGGTCGGTGAGTAATTATAAGGGATTGACCAAATAAACTGAACACAACGAGGATAAGAGGAGCGACTTTTTGCAATGCCGGACCTGATGCGCATGCGCAGTATATGCGGCTCGCTGAACACCCTCACCCCACCCTCCACCGTGGCAGTTCTGGGGCGCCTGCGCAGTGCACACCGCTCACTGAGCCCCTCCCGGCCCTCTGCCACGCCAGTCCTGGGGCGCCTGCGCAGTGTGCCTCCTGCTCCCCACGCAGAGCGCATGCCTAGAAGGAGAGTCCTTGTCACCGCCCCCCGCCCCCCCCCCCATTCAGGCCTCCTTTGACTAAAGAAAGTCTTGGATCCCCTACTAAATGATTAAGGCTGTGTCATCCGTGTGTCCTGAGACCAGCCTGAAGGGAAAGAAGATCTCTCGGGAAAATTCCAACTCAACATCAAGGACTGGGGTGTCCTTATCCAAGCACGCACCGCACCCCAGTATTCTGCTGAAATTCTCTCCCGGGATATTGCAAGATTTAGCTGGGCAGAGGATTCCTGATTCTAGTATCCTCAAGGGCCTCAGGCCCAGGGACCAGCCGACTGCCCCGCTGGTGGGGGGCAGTGGGCTGGGGCGGGGGGGCGGAGGGTGTGCAGCCCTCCCTTGCTTCCGGCTGGACAGAAAACATCAGAAACACTGCGAGAAGGTCACAGTCTAAAGTACAGGGGGTGGCTCCTCCCCAACCCACCCTTTTTTCCCGGAGGGAGGCTTTGCTACGTGGGCCCGCAGCCCAGGGCCTGCGGTGGCACCACCTCTATCGGTGCTGAAGGAGCAGCATTTTACCTCCAAGGAACCAGGGCATTCCTCAGAGCTTTTCCCCAACCCTCAGCCCACACCCCGTGACCAGGCGCAGCAGACTGCGTTATTACTCTTCCCAGTTTTGAACGCCAACAATGGGGGCTGTACTCTGCCTAAGATCATTTGACCCTGGCTCACAAGCCCGACAGAGTGCTACAACCAAGGGGGAGTAGGTTTAAGAACGCTAACTGGTTTGAGGTTAGAAAGCGTCTACAGCCCATAAGAAGAAACACAGGACGTGACACCGGTCCAAGGTCAAACCCAACCCTCTTTCATCATGAACAGCCACCCTTACAGGGCACAAGTGCCCCCATGTCTAGACTGTAGCAATAACCTCTTGTGACTGCGTTTGGTGTAGTAGGCTTGGTGAAGGAGGCTGAGATGATGACAGATCTTACTTCTAGCTCCCGGCAAACTCCAAAGACAGACTCCAACTTAGCTTGCAGCTGGTGAGAAATTACAAACAACTCATAGGGGGATGTAAAACACAGCCTCTGAGCATTGAGATTAGTTGCAAGTGGCTCCGACATGAAGTGAAATGGGACAGGATACATAGGAAAATGGGGTGATACTGCAAGAGAGATGGACAGGAAACAAACGAAATGGAAGACAAGATCTGCAAATCATACACTGAATAAGGAGTTAGTAGCCAGTATGTATAAAGAACTCCCAACTCAGGGGGCAGTGGGGAAACAGCCCCTCACCCCTGCTGGGGGCCTACAGAGGGTGCCCTTCCCCTGGGGGAGAGCTCCTGGTGCCCAATTTAAAAGTGGGCAAAGAATTTGAATAGCTATTTCTCTGAAGAACAGATACAAATGGCTAGAGGAACATGATATGATGTTCCACATCACTAATCATTAGGAAAAATGCAAATCAAAACCACAGTGATATACCACTTTGCATCTATTAGGATGGCTATTATCAAAGCAACAACCTAAAGTGGCAAGTGGTGGAGAATGTGGAGAAATTGCAACTCTTGTGCAAAGCAAAGCTGGTAAGAAGTCAATGATACAGCTGCTGTGAAAAACAGTATGGCAGTTTCTCAAAAAAATTAAATGTGAAATGACCCTATGATCCAGCAATTCCACTTCTGGGTATTTACCCAAAAAAAAGTGAAAACATGCTTGCACAGATATTTGTATACCAATGCTCTAACAGGGGTGTCAAACCTCTGGCCCACGGGCCACATGCAGCCCAGGGGGCTGTAAATGCAGCCCAACAGTAAAATGGTAAATTTACTTAAAACACTGGCATTTTTTTTGTGATTACATGTCACAATGTATTTAATGTGTGGCCCAAGACAACTCTTCTTCTTCCACTGTAGCCCAGGGACACCAAAAGGTTGGACACGCCTGCTACAGTCAAGCAGCATTACTCTCAAGAGCCAAAAGGTGGAAGCAACCCCAATGTCCATCGAAAGATGAACAGATAAACAAAATGTAGTACCTACCTACAACGGACCTAATATGCAGCCCTAAAGAAGGAATGCAGTCCAAACACATGCTACAACCAGGATGAACCCTAAAGACATTATGCTAAGTGAAATAAGCCAGTGACAAAAGGACAAATGCTATGATTCCACTCATAAGAGGGACAGTAGTCAAATCCATAGAGCCAGCAAGTGGAACGGTGGCTGCCAGGAAGAGGAAGGATGGGGAGTTAGTGTTCAATGAATGCAGAGTTTCAGTTTAGGAAGATGGAAACTTTCTGGAGATGGATGGTGGTGACGGCTGCCCAATGATATGAATGTACTTAATGCCACTGACCTGTGCACTTAAAAAGGGTTAAAATGGTAAATTTCATGTATACATAAAATTTTTTTAAAAAGAAGATGGGCAGGAGCAGGCTCTTCAATGGTCCTTCATGCGATTCTAAATGAGAGGATAAAGTCAGCACCATTTGCTGAGCAGGCCTGTGACCTTGTTAGACGTGACTGCCATGTTCTTCTTCCGAGCTTCCGTCCCCAGGACTGCAAGTTACTGGAAAGTAAGGACTAACCTACAGCCACAGGCAAAAGATAACACTGGAAAAAACTGCAGCCTCTTGTTCCAAGGCCCCCAATAGCCCAAGGGCCACACGATAGCAAAGGCCACCCTTTTTTAATCCAATGATATCCAATAAAAGCTCCAAGTCCCCATCCCTGGGCGGGTGTATCTCTCCACACCAGGCCCCTCTCCTTTCTTGGAGAGTAAACAAAAACTTTACTCTCCACACTTTCTTCTCTTTGTGAATCCTTTCACAGGCCGCATCACCGACCACCCTAACACTAAGGACTTGGTACATCGTCTTAAAGACTAGGAAGCATCAGGAAAGATTCTGAAGGGGGAGATGCAGGCCCAAGAGAGAAGTCTCTGTGCCTCAGAACAATAGGTGTAATAAAGCCCTAGATTAGAGCTTTACACAAAAAGGCAATCAATGAACACTGGTAGAATAAAACATAAAGAAGTAGAGATCCTGCCTAGCAATTAGTTTATTTCAGGAGAGAAAAGCAGGAAGAGCTGAATTGCCCGGAATAATGCTGCAATCCAAGCACCCAATCTGTGAGGTCTCCACCTGAGTCAGACAGCCTCTCATTTACCTTGTGGGCATGCAGAGGGTGCCCTTCCCCCAGGAACAGCTCCCTAAGTTTCTCACCCCTCCCCCGCACACACATCTATCTTCCCAAATGTGCCAGGGAACCCCTATTCATGCTCCAGTAAGCAGGGGAGCAGAACTACAAAAAATCACAAACCGAAGATCAAACTTCCAATTCAAAAGCCACTACTAGCTGCATGACTTTACCCCCTCTGGGAGGTAAAGGAAGATGGGATGACGTCCACCTCTCACAGCAGCGTGACAGCTGGACCTGGGGGGGGGGGGGGGGATGTACTCTCGCCTTGGCAAAACGCCCCGCTGAGACAATGCTCCCCAGCGCCCACTGCCCTCTTGCATAAAGCATCACATAACACTGAGATGCTCGGTCGTCATTGTCAACTTCCCTGCCCCATCCCCCAGAACGAGGGCTCTGCACCCTGAGATCCGTCTCCCGGGACCTGCCACAGCTGGTACTATCCGCGAGAAAGGCCGAGGCCTCCAGCAAACTCTGGACGCCGAGCTGCTCCAGGCACTGTCCCCCTATCCGCTGCGGGATGCTTCCAGAAACCAAGAAATAACAGAAATGAGTGTGCATTGCAGCGGGGCACGATGAACTCCCAGCCACGTAAACAAGTGGCCAAGGGTTATCAGATAATTCTTTCTTATCTTTTATTTATATTCATCTATGCATGTATGCATGTATTTCTTAAAACAGAGAAGGTCCCAACCAAGACACTTCTGGGGGCCCAATGCGGCCCCCACGCAGCTAGTTTTGAGACCCCTGTCAGGCCACTTACGAAGGAGGAGAAGGACGGGAGGAGGATCCTGAGGACATTGCATCCAAACACAAAGCTGAGCACCAGCAGCCACGCCCAGTGGTCGGCCTCCGCTGCGCTCATTCCTGACTCTCCCACTCGCTGGAGGCTAGAGCACCGCTACAGAGGCTCCATGGGGACCACGCCGGCGCCAGCGCCCGGGCCTGCGCAGTGAGGCCAAACCCGCTGCGCCAACCCGGAAGTGGGCGGTCTTTTCCATTCGTTCCCGGCTAACGCTTCCTGTTTGGCCTTCCGGGTTTTCGTAGCCTTCTTGCACCCACTGCCACTACTCCCGTGTGACCTGTTTTCCAAACTCCGGTGATTGGGCCACTACTGTCCCTAGTTTGTGTGTATCTGTAAATCGCGCGTGTTATTATGTAATTAATACTTTAGCTAAATCGACTCACTTTTATTTAAATTAAATCTCGGTGGACCTTTACGCTTTGCCCTGGCTGGTGGGGCTCAGTGGACTGAGCGCCAGCCTGCGAACCAGAGTGTCACCGGTTGGGTTCCCAGTCAGGGCACATGCCTGGGGTGTCCAGGTCCCCAGTAGGGGCCCACAAGAGGCACCACACATTGATGTTTCTCTCACTCCCTCCCTTCCCCTCTCTAAAAATAAATAAAATCTTTTTAAAGACACTTTTAAAAAAATAAATAAAATAAAAATAAACCTTTCCAGCTCTGGCCGGTGTGACTCGTGGATTTGAGTGTCCTTCATTAAGAGAAAGATTGTGGGTTCATGGTACCCCATCAGGACACATGCCTGGGTTGTGAGTTCATTCCCCAGTCCAGGTGTCTGGGGAGGCAACCAACTGATACTTCTCTTTCACACCAATGTTTCTCTCCCTCCCTCGCTGCCTGTAAAAGCAATGAAAATATGTCCTCTGGTGAGGATTAAAAATAAAGCAAACCTTTCTAGAAATAGAAAACTCCCATGATTGTAGTAGCAGATATCTGTAAAAACAAATGTTTTGTAAATAATTATATGTAAAATGTATTTTACATCAAAACTAAACGCTATAAGAAATTTTAACAATTTCCAAAACTGCACACCTGAAAAATAAATATAAATTAAAAAGCACTGTTTACGATGAGCCTGTAATAAACTAGTTAACCTACATTTAGCTGGAGATGGGTTATTAACAACACAAGAATCCTAATTCACATTTATATGTAGCATGTGAAAGATGTCTAGCTGCCTCTTCTGCTGTGGTTGGAGTCGGAGAACTAAAACCTAATTTAAATGAATCACGGAACTGTGGCTCTACACATTTCTGTTTCAAGAAAACACGTGGAGCAGAACTACTTAATACTCCCTGGAAAGGCAAGGAAATTCTTTCCATGAAAACACATCTCGGCTGGTAGAGGATGCTGAACTGGCCACAACAAAAGACGGGCTTGGAGGCTGCCTCTCTTCCCCAGCCCTCCGCTCCGACTGCACCATCCACAGCTGCAGCCTGGCCACTGACTCCTCTACTCACGGGAGATTTAGCATTTACAGGAAGAAACAACCTCATGGAAAGTGATGGTAGCTCCTCCGTTTCTGCCTTTCCGGCGAAAGAGGAGTTTCAGCTGTTCCCTACCCCTACCACACACCCCACACCACTACTGCATATCCCCAGGAGGAGTACCACCAATCCCTGGTGAGGCAAGGATTTGACCTCCCCCCCTGAAAAAAAATTCAAACAAAAACAAAAACACCAGAGAAAAGTCCCTGACTGTGCAGCAGTGATCTGGCCCTCAGGTGCAACCCAATTTGAATAACACAGCTCTCTCCTATTGCTCTTTTGGGCAGTCTCAAAAAGCACTCACAGTGGAAGGCTGAATTTTTCTACTAACTTGTGGAAAGAAAATATGAAAGCCAAGATATCTCAACAGGACTCTGTCTAGATCTAGTAATCAGAGATGTGCTCAGAACTGAGTGGGTTACCCTGGCCAGCATGGCTCAGGCAGTTGGAGCATTGTCCTGGAACCAAAGGACTGAGGGTTTGAGTCCCAGTCAGGGCACATAGCTGGGTTGTGGGCTTGATCCCAGGTCCAGGTATATGATTCCTGATCTCGATGGGTAAGGGAGGCAACCAACCGATGTTTCTCTCCCTCCCTCTCTCTTAAAACAATGAAAATATGTCCTTGGGTGAGGACGCACGCGAGAGAGAGAGAGAGAGAGAGAGAGAGAGAGAGAGAGAGAGAGAGGGAGGGAACTGAGACACACCCAGATGCAGCACTGAAATACAAGGTGAAACAAGATGACCTCAACTATTCTCAAAACTGCAATCAGGGTGAAAAAAGAGAAGAATCAACGTAGAGGGAACTGAATTTACCTATCCTTTGCCCACTTGATTTTACCAAATGAAAATGAGGAGGAGGAGGAGGAAGAGGAACACAGTGTTGAGCCGAAGAGCAGACTAACCGTCTTTCGGAGTGAATTAAGTGAAATCTGCAGTGTTTGTTTCGGTGAGTGGAAAATCAGGCAGCTACCTGGAATGCACAAATTTTATAGCCTTCGTATAGCTCGTTAGCTGTCCCAGCCCTGGATTTGACCTATATGTTGGCTGCCTGTTTGAGGATCAAGGACAGCTAATGTGGAATGAAGTATGAGGTTTCTTGGCAAATCATGTTCTAGCATAGCTGAATATTCAAGCATTCATATTCAAGCATTCCTTTAGTGTGCACACATATGTGCATTGTATGTGTGTACATGTGAGGAGCTAATCAGAAAGAAAAATATAACATCATTTGAACTATTTTGCTGTTTTTTAACTTGTTAAAAATATGCAAAAATTTTAAATTCAAATGTTAAATTATACTTAAAGGTGGCACTATTGATTTTGCTAGACAGTTGTCGAACAACATTGAGAATATACTAAATGCCCCTGGATTGAACCCTTAAAATGGTTAACCGCATGTTATGTAAATTTACCTCAATTTTTTGAAAAAAAAATTGCTAGAACTGAATAACCTTTAAAGTATTTTTATTTTAGTCTCTGTTATGCTAAGCCTTCTGGATATGCAAAATTCAGTAGTTTCAAAATTAATCTTATTGTTATGAGTGCAATTTACTTCATTGAAACCTCAAATTTTGCCCTGGCTGGTGTCGCTCAGGGGATTGAGCGCTGGCCTGTGAATCAAAGGGTCACCAGTTTGGTTCCCAGTCAGGGCACATGCCTGGGTTGCCAGCCAGGTCCCCTTATAGTCAGGGGGGGTGGAGGGCGGGCAAGAGGCAACCACACATTGATGTTTCTCTCCCTCTCTTTCTCTCTCCCTTCCGCTCTCTAAAAATAAATAAATAAACTATTTTAGAAAATAAAAATAAGCCTCAAATGTTTACAAGCTCTGCACTATGTCCAGAAATTTACCTCTAAGATTTTATTTTATTTATTTTTAGAGAAAGGGGAAGGGAGGGAGAAAGAGAGAAGCATCAATGTGTGAGAGAAACATCACGGGCTGCCTCCTGCACCCTGACCACGGAACACACCTGCAACCCAGGCATGTGCCCTGACCCAGAAAAGAATCGGCAACCTTTCCCTTTGAGGGACGATGCCCAACGAACCAAGCCACAGAGGTTGGGGCCAGAAATGTACCTTACACTAGCTTTTTAAAAAAATAATTTCAAACATACAGAGAACTCTCAAAAAGTAAAAATGGCGTCAAGAACATCCCACACCCTTTATTTAGATTTGTCTACTTTAATATTGTAGCCCGTTCACTCTGCCGTGTTTCCTTCCCCTCGTCCAGGGTATCGCTGAGAATATCCTCCTATAGAATCACAGTAATTTGTCAACCTCAGTAAAGTCAATGGCGGCTCGATACTTCTATCCAGCTGCCATCTGCATTCCAGTTTTGAGAGTTGACTGAATAATGTCCTTTGTGGCATTTTTCTCTCCAGTACAAGATCCAGTCTAGGGTCAGGTATGGCATTTAATTGACGTGTCTCTTTGGCCTCCTTTAATCTGGAACATTTTCATGGTCTTTGTCTTTTATCACACTGATCATTTGGAAGATACATTTCCCTTAAAAATAATATAAACAAAAACTTTTAAAGAAACTGTTGGCCTAATTTCCAAAGTGGTTTACCATTTTACATTCTAACAGGGTTTGAATCCAGTTCCTCCATACCCTATCCAATGTAAGTCTCTTACCTTTTTGTCATTCTAACAGGTGAATAGTGGTATCTCATTAGACTTTTGTGCTCTATCTATATCACCCTAATGACTACTGATATTGAGCAGGCCTTCATTTGCTTGTCACGCTTATGTCTTTCTTCATGAAGTATCTGTTCAAATCTTTTGCCCTCTTTTTACTGAGTTGCCCTCTTAGAACTGGATAGAGTTTTGAGTTCATTCTGGATACAAGTCCTTTATCTGATATATGCTTTGCAAATATTTACTCCCAGTCTGTGGCTTGTCTTTTCATTCTCTTAAAAATGTTCTTTGAGCTCTGGCTGGTATGACTCAGTGGATTGAGTGCAGCCTGGGAACCAGAAGGTCACTGGGTGGATTTCCAGTCAGGAAACACGCCTGGGTTGCAGACCAGGTCCCTGGTTGGGTGCAAGAGGTCCCCAGTTGGGGGTAAGTGAGAAGCAACTGATCAATATATCTCTCACACATTAAGGTTCCTCTCCCTCTTTTTCTCCCTCTCTCCCCCTCTCAGATAAAATCTTTTTTTTTTTAAGTACTTAAGGACTTCCAGCCAAGATGGAGGCGTAGGTAGACAAACTGTGCCTCCTCACACAACCAAAAGAAAGACAACAAATTTTAAAACAAAAAACAATCAGAACTCACAGAAAACTGAACTATATGGACGTCTGACAACCAAGGAGTTAAAGAAGAAACATTCATCCAGACTGGTAGGAGGGGCTCGTGGCAGGGCAGTAGCCAGCATAGTGGGCGGTCCCACATTCACGTGCAGATAAACTGGGGGAACAACTGGGGAGCAAGACAGACCACGCAACCCAGAGTTCCAGCTCGGGGAAATAAAGCCTCAAAACCTCCTACTGAAAACACCTATGGGGTTGCTGGAGTAGGAGAAACTCCCAGCCTCACAGGAGAGTTTGTTGGAGAGACCCACAGGGTCCTGGAATGTACTCAAACCCACTCACCAGGGAATCAGCCCAGAAGGGCCCAATTTGCTTGTGGGTAGCAGAGGAAGTGACTGAAAGCTGGCAGAGAGCTGAGCAG